AGCATCATCGCAACACAAACAGCATCAGGGCAACCTCATAAATCTCTCACAAGGGCTCCACATCTCATTGACAGAGTCAGTAACAGAGTAATCTCATTAGAATTATTATTATATTATAGATATTTACACTTACATTTTTGTTGATGTTTCTAACATCACAAACTACCTTGTAATCAATCACGTCAACGTGTGATCGTCAACAAGTGGATCTCTGAGCTGGTGTGAGTGACTGGAGGCGGGCTAATTTGCATATTCATAGAATAGCGTATACTAAATGAGGCTAAATGAGTTACATTCAAGCTATTTTAAGGCATGAATAATTTTTTTTATTCATTTTTTTATTCACCACATTTAGGTGGTCAAAGATGAGTTTTAAGGGATATGGGATATTGGTCGCATATTAGGGTCTAATTCTCACTATTAACTGTGACTTTTGCCTCAGTAAACTCATAATGACTGATTATAAATAGCTAGTAGTTTTTGTATTGGGTAGGATTTAATGGATGTAGAATAAGGCATTATGTGCTTTTTAAGTACTAATAAACAGCTAATATCATAGTAATATGCTAATAAGCATACTAATAATACTAATGAGAATTGGTCCACAAACTAAAGTGTCACAGTACTTTAAATACATGTCATGGCATTAAAATTATTTATTTTATGTAGTAAATCATGATGAAAAAATCAATTCTGCCATGAATTCAAAATAACATAAACCTTTGTTTGTCTTACAAATAATATGCTTTAAATGATGTAAATATGTTTATGTTTCTATGCAAAAGTGATGTGTTTCGAACATATTCACTGTACGCATTTCAGGAAAAAACATGTATGTAACATTATTACAACCAGACATACACAAACAAAAGTTAGTATATACTTTAAACTAAAAATTACATATTAACTATTTACAGTGTATGTACAAATACATTTGAAGATCCCACTTCATATTATGTCTTCACAAATTACATTTAAATTATTGTTTGATTCAAAGCACTTATTGTGTTGTGTATGTTTTTACATTGTACTTATATATAATTTCCTAGATGTAATTACATCAGATGTTATCTCCTGTAATTGCAACTCCTGTAATCACACATTGACCCTTCCCTTACCTTTTAACCCACCTTAAACCTACCCATACCCCCAAACAGGGACAGCCCTGATCTTACCCGTTTCCAACCTCAATAGCAGCAAAAGTTTTTAGCAATACAACATGAACTCAATAAATAAATTGTTGTTTATTTAAATGTACACCTAATTTAAAGTGTGATGCATTTGGATTGAGGTCACATTGGCTATACAAGTAAGACAGCAGCAAACACAATGTTTGAGATATGATTGAGATACGTTCTCCTAAACAACCCCCCTCTACAGTTGAAAAATGTTTGGAGCAGCTGTTTCCTTCAGACCTTTGATTCAACTTGGCTTATGCAGCTGTCAGGGTGCAAGAAATGATACTTATAGAAATATAGGCCAGGCACTTCATTGTTTCATCACTTGTTCTTCTGCACTGAAAGACTCTAGCCAGAGACCTGATCGAGTGAAATGGATTTAAAAATCCAGGTGCTTCAATCAGACAGCATCAAGAATAAACAGTAACACATGGCACACACACACACTCTTTGTCCTGAAGCAGTGAAAACAGACGAAGGTCCCTTCCTGCTAAAGTGCAGCACATATTGAGATCCTGTACTCCCAGCCATCCAACGGGTCGCCTTGTTTATTAATCCTGTGTAAGAATGTCACTTTTTAAATAGCACTGAGCTCCCAGAGGTGCCCTGGCCTTGCTTTTTTTTCTGACATGTGATAAACACAAGATGGCTGCCCCCACCCCAGTTGGTTTACATAAGACTGCTAAAACATCCCTCCGCCTCTTGCCCTCAACACCGGCAGCATGTATACTTCACAGCACAACCCCGGCAGCCAGAAACAGCCCGCTCATTTGCTAGCAGACCATCCGTACGGCTTATTTGTGCTGCATAAATCATCCTTTCATCGCACAGTTTCTCCTGGCGGCCATGTTTTTTTTCCAGGTTTGTGGAGGTAGCATACCTCTGGCCTGTACTGTAGCGGCTCTGTAAACCATTGACGGATCCAGTCCAGCTGGCTGGGTGAGCAGCCCTCTTCCTGACATACTCGCCCCCTTCTAGTCCACTCCAGGCAGGCTGACGGGTTCGCCCTCATCTACTACCTCCGCTGACCAAAAACAGCTTCCTTTTTATTCATCTCCTTTTTCTCACTGACTCTGTGAAATTAAAACCTGAAGACTTGCAGTAAGCGAAAGTGGCAACACGTGGCTCCTGATGAAGACTACCCTTGTGAACATTTTTGAATGTATTGAATGTGCAAAAAGGTAGTGAAGACATTGTTAAAATAGTCCATGTGACTACTACAGTGGTTCAACCTTACTTTTTTTGTCACATGGACTATTTCAACAATGTCTTTATATCTTTCTGGGCCTTGAAAGTAGTAATAACGTGGCACTCTATGGGGGGTCAGAAAGCAATTCATCAAAAATGTCTTCAAAGACAATAGATGGTCTTACAGGTTTGGAACGACATGAGGGTGAGTAATTAAGGACAGCAATTTCATCGTTGGGTGAACTATCCCTTTAATGATTGACATGCTATAAAGCAAAATGCTTACAATTAAAATAATTATAATTTTAACTGTATATTCGTTAAATTCTGTGTATTCTGTATATTTCCCAAACAGGGCTTAGATTAAGCCAGGATTAGGCTTTAGTTCAATTATGATATTTAAGTGACTTTTATGAACAACAACAACAACAACAAAACATTACTGGTGTGCATCTGTCATGGGACTATAGGCTTAAGCCTCGTCTGTGAAACCAGGGGTATTTATTTTAAATGTACCAAATCACATCTCAATCATTGCAAACGTGTAATTACAAATATTGAAATCCATGAGAAGTAAAAAAAAAAAAAAAAAAGACAAATTATAGTATAGTTTTTAGTTTACCTAAATGCTTGTCAGTATATTAAAAAGTACATTTTAGCCATATTTCAAAAACAAAAGAATATTCCATATAAATATTTACTTTTTAAGCTAAAAAAGGTAACTCTAAAAGTAAACTATTCACATATACAACTTTTAACTATAATACATTTTTATTTATTTGTTTGTAAGTAACATACAATTAAGTGTCCGGAAACATTACATTAAGTTTGTACTTAAGTAGCCTATACGTATAGTATATTCTTTAAGAAGTTTTAAGTATATTATTTCCGTGCAAGTTCTCTTTTTAAGTATACTTTTTTTTTCACTAGTGAGACACCACAACCATGTCACAATTAGACAACATCTATTACAAGACTTTTCTTTACTAAGAAATAACTGGATAGACTGGAAAAATATACTACTGATTAGTTTTATAAAATGAACATGAGGTGATCCGCATAGGTTTGCATATTTATTTACTTGAAAGTTGTTAAGTGCCCAAAATCACTAACCCTGTTGAAAAATAAAAGCTGATTCACTGGTCTTCCAGCCTGGTCAGGTTTTAAAAGGGGTTTTGGCCACTTTTCTGTTGGTCAAACTGAAACAAGTTGGCCACCCAGCTTAACATCAGCTTGACAATGAAGACCAGCTCACCAGCAAACGTTACAGTTAAGTAACGTAAGTGTGTCTGCAGCCTGCAGACCGCTTCTTTCATTTCGCCTTTGATGAGCCCACGTTTCTCTAAATTGTTTCCCCTAAAATGTATATTGCCAGACGACTGTTTAGGTTAACGGTATAGCGTGTTTATATGACGAGTACATCTTCCACTGTAGAAAAAAGAGAAAATCTTGCTCTGAATCAAGGGATTATAGGACAGACGCCTGCTCTCTGACAGCTGGCCACTTGAGTTTTACAAATGACAGACAAACTCCATCAGTGGAAATTTTTAGAAGTGTGTCGACCAGAACACGAGGGGGGAAACTGTGCACAGGGTCAGGAAGAACACACTATGAAGAAAAGCAGGAGGAAAGAGTGAAAGATAAGACAAAACTGACTTGTCAACTCACAAAACATACATAAATATGTCAAAAGGGGAGTTTAAGAGTAAATTGTGTTCATACCACTAAACTGTGTGGCAATAAAACATCTTAAGCATCACATTCTGGTGCAGTTAAGGTGTGGATATCTGTCATGAAGTCCTGTGGAGACAGCCTGAAGCTATGTTTCCGTAACACAGTGTGATGTTCAGTAAGCTGGATGATCAGAGGGCTAAACCAAAGCTTTCCTCCCCTTTTCCCGTCCCCTGTGACAGCAGTACATGGAAAGCTGGAGAGGGACGGAGCTCTTGGCACAAAGATTAAATGAGGGAGTTTTAACTGCTAATTAATTGCAGGTCCAGCTCACACACACACACACACACACAGACATGCAAACACCCTAAAAATTTTCTCACATGAAAACTACACAAGTTTGTTCTCTTTTAAACACACAGAAATGGACATTCAAAGGCTTTTGGTGCGTGTGTGTGACACATTTTTAAAGGAATTACAAATCATCATGTTGTGCCCCAGCACATGATAGATTCATATCAACAGCATTTTGCACCGTGGACGTCATGTTTTCCTGGAGAGGCCGTATTAACCCCTTCCACATTACACTGGGCCGTATTAGCCGAAATGAATAAGCCTCCTGTCATTTATGATACAGCGCCTGCAGCCTTTCCTCGGGCAATGCTCAAGAGTCCAGCGTAACCTGCATTTCCTGTGGCTCTCATTCTCTCTCTCTCTCTCTCTCTCTCTCTCATGACTATCTTCATTCATTCCTTCGGCAGACACCATCCCTTCATCTGCTGCCTGCACCTCTCCCAATGCATGAGAACCACTGTCATGGGCAGACTTGCCTGGGGCTTTTTAAATATGTATGTGAATCATGATACTCTCTTTTGCCATTAGCAATGGAAATATAATACAAACAAAGGACATTTATATGGAGCTGCAATGCTGATGAACGCTGTGGCATTCTTCTGCAAGTCCAGACCTACATAACTGGGGTACAAAACAGGTTTGTATGTCTTCTCTTATATGCACACTATAAGAGCAAACATTTCTTCAAACATGAAAGTGTTGAGTAGTGGGTTAATATAGTAATATATGGGCACCACCCATGCAGATACTGTATCTATGACTCTGAAAGAGGGTATTCCTGCAGGAAAAATGTCAACTGAAGAGAGCCAGAGCTTCACAGTCTTACACGGTAGCTAAATGACCACAGTGATATACACTTTGCCCGGGACGATGTGACTGAAAGTGCTCACTGACCATCCTTAAGCGTTTTGTTTGGCTTGCTCGTGTATGCAGTGTTGAGTTATGCGCCACAGTCCTCTGTAAGTTAACGTTGGTGCCAGACTACATGAAACCAAGGGCTTGACCAAATCAAAACAGACTCACCCGCAAATTTACGAACCTGCTACTGAAAGATCTGAATGACTGGGGGAGGGATTTTCTGCTAGCGCCATTCAAATTTGAAAAAAAAAAAAAAAGCTTATTTTTTTCATGTAATATAAGTTGGGAACAAAATGTTTGGATATGAAAGAATGAAACTGTACAGCAAAATATCAGAACAGGGATATTATTTAGTGTTAATATTTTAGGAAAATGCACGACGAATGTGCATGATAAAAACATATCTGGGACAGCAAATCCAGAAATGAGATTTCCTCATGTACAGAACGTCCTAAATCATGATGCGTTGATGGGGCGAGCATCAATAGATCTAGAAACTCCACTCAATCTGGAAAACATGTTAGTTTTTTCCCCTTGCAAAATATAAGTGATTAAAACAAAGCACCAAGGGGAGGAAATGTTCTTGGAAAATGAACAATTGATTTCCAAAATTTCCTGGACAGTTATAGTTATTTCTCAGAATGGGTCATGTCAGAGATGTTTCACTTTTAATCCCAGTGACGCTGAGTTTTGTCTCAAGGGGCGGTGAATGCTGGTGGGTGTATCTGAGCGTCTCCCTTGGGAAATCAACCTCTCTGAAACTATCACTGACTATTAGTAAAAAAACATCTAATTTAAGTTGCTTCACTGACAACTTAAAAGAAAAAATATATAATTATTTTGCAAGACGTTGTGATTCCTTAAAGGAGTAGTTCACTTTTTTTAAAAAACCTTTGCTGACAATTCACTCAACCCCATGTCATCCAAGATGTCTATATCTTTCTTTCTTCAGTCAAAAAGAAATTAAGGTTTTTGATGAAAACATTCCAAGATTTTTCTCCATATAATGCACTTTAATGGGAACCAAACAGTTCAAGGTCCAAAAGACAATTTCAGTTCACGATGAATAAGGGTCTTATCAAGCGAAACGATTGCTCATTTAAAATTTTTTTTTACAAAGTTTAAAGTCCCAGTGAAATCAAAATTTAACCTATTTACTTTGTTAGCACATATTACTAGTCTTGTGGTGAACAATTAATCCATGCAAGTAAATATATATTTAAAAAAAGTTTTACCTTGGTAATCTTTAATCAAAATCTGAAAAGTTACTTCCGGTCTGGAACGGTTTCTTTTTCTGATGACGTAGGTTTCACAGCTTGGGTGGGGAAACGCTTAACCACTCCCCTCAAACCGTTAGTTTGTTATGAGCGAGAGATGGAGAGGAGGAGCGCTAGAGTAAAACCCTGCCCTCTGTTCAATTTTTCGTTTCACTTGGAAATACGTCACAGCATTGGAGAAAAATCGTTTGCAACTTCCGGTTCACGGGGACTTTAAGTTTTATAAGCTTAAACGCTCGCCTTGCTCTGTTCTGTGATGCACGTTCCTCACTCTCCTGTTCAAACTCGTTCATCAAAATGAACAAATCTCTTTCCGAGTCAATTAGTTCATTTTGTTTGTTGAAGACCCTTATTCATCGTCTGGAATCGTTTAAAGCCCTTTGAACAGTTTGCAGTTTGCACTGAAACTGTCTTTTGGACCTTGAACCGTTTGGTTCCCATTAAAGTGCATTATATGGAGAAAAATCCTGGAATGTTTTCATCAAAAACCTTCTTTTCTTTTCGACTGAAGAAAGAAAGACATGGACATCTTGGATGACAAGTGGGTGAGTAAATTATGAGCAAAAGTTTTTTTTTTTTTTAAGTGACCTAATCCTTTAAGATATCTCCTCTTTCTAAACTAACTCAGTTAAGGACAGAAGATTCTTGATTCAAATGTTGTAGAATATTTGTAGATACTATAATGCTTAAATTATTTCAATTGATTTGTTGTCACGTTAAACAATTATATACCCAGGCTGTTTTTTTGTGTGTTTTTTTTAATGAAGACCTCAGGTGTGTCAGTCATCAAAAAATAAATAAATAAATAATAATGTAAAGACATGCAGAGCAAACTGGGCCTATAAAACACTGAAAGGACAATAAATATTGACACACCAAAAGCAATGGTTTGATTTTTTGTCAGGATGATTAAAGGTCAAATTCAATTAACCCCAAAAGCAAGTACTACCAACAGGTTAATACTCAAAGCACAGCCAAATAAGATTGGAGAGTTGAACTGAGAGCTCCAATGAAGTTCACATCATTTCACAAACACAACAGATCATGTAGTTTATTCCACTACATGGCACCCGTAATCCCTTCATTACCTCCTTTTACTTTCTCTCTTAGTTGAAGTGTAAAAATGTGGAGCTGAGCAGTATGAGAGCTAATAAGGTCCAGTGGGAAACCACAAATATTAATGAAGTCTATACTAAAAACTAATTTGAACTTTTCGAACTTGTCTAATCATCTGTACTAAATCATTTCTTTTTGGTATCTTTCAAGCCACCCACCCCCATCATGCCATCTCTCAATATCGTTTCAAAATTTCACATAGTCTGCTTTAAAGCTGTTGTTGGTCCTATCCAAGTAGGCACATTAAAAACACAAAATTATGTAAATCACTCTTGCAGAGTAGCATTGTCAACCATATTCTGTTCTAAAATTCAAATAGGGACAATAATCATGAATTTGATCACTAAAACAACATCAGAAAAACTTAAACCTAATAAGCCAGAGCAGTATACTCTTCATAAAATGTTGCTCGAAGTTTTAAGTTGCATGTCAGTTGAAAGATGAAGTGAGTGTACATGCCCAGTGATCAAACATTGGGCTGCTGTAGAGCTGTACGGTGAGTTCCTGAATAAGCGTGCCATGGTGCTCATTTCTGAGGCAGCAGCTTTGGGCTCAGTGTGATTGATGTTGAGGTCCAGAGAGCAGATCCTCTCCCTCAGCCCTCACATTTACATACCGCGTAACCAGGCATACAGCTATAAAGCTCAGATCTATTTTTAAAACTCACTCAAGCAGAGGGAAGAAGATTTTTTATTTATGATTAAGAATAAGTTTTTCAATAAGCCAATAGCTCTGGCTACCACTGGTCTCAGACACTTATTAATTAATTGGTTTATAATTGTAACAAGTAGTGAATGTTTCGTATTTTTTGGCACAACTGAAACTCTGGTTGGTTTAGCTTCTTTAAATCTGGACCTTAGTGTATTATTCCACAGAATCTTCCAGACAGATTTCATAGTGTTTATCTTAATCTCTACCTTACATGGACATGCTCTTCATGTACATTTAATTCTCAGCATGTTTTGCCCTTAAATAGTACAATTTGTTTAGCTGATGGTCCCCACCCACTTTGCATGATATTCAAACGAATATAATCAAAATATTTACCATGCTTTCTAGCAAGTTAACTTTCCAAGCCAGTCTGAATAGTGGTGTGTCATTAAATTAATAATTAAACTCAGACCATTGTCTATTTCGTAATGTTATATGTACATTTACTCAAAGAACTTTATTTTGGCTCTGCTTTTTCCAATTTATCATATGATTATACTCAGATTACAACAAGAAAACCAATCAGATAAATGGTGTTTACATTTTGTACACTGCTATACTTCTACTATCCAAATTAGTAAACACATTATTTTAATTTCTTAATGGCGACTATCAACATACACACATCATTTGAAGGGTTTTATAAAAAAAAAAGAAAAGCTGGATTTGAATTGAGAAACTAAAATTGATTGACTTAGTATTAGTCCAGTGCAAGGTTTTGTATGCTCAAATAATCTTACACTTTCAGAATCCAGCCTATGGATTTTTTTCTCCGCCGTAGGAAAGTTTCTGATAGCTGAAACCAACCGCAATTACAACCAATGACCAATCAAAAGCAAGACGCAAAGGAAAACAAAACCTGTGATTGGTCTAAAACGCTAGTGGTTTCAAGGCGCCCCGCATCGAGGGGCAGTGATTTTGAATGAGGGGTGTGTAGAAACCGACAGCACATTATTGTATGTGCGCCTCACTTGCGCTCAAACCTTCCAGTCAGTGAGTAGCGCGTATACCCAGCGCACACGAGAGCGCGCTCTGCCCGAGAAACCCGACTTAAGTTTTCCAACACGACTCTCTGGAAAGCAGTTTCTAAAGTCACTGGATACACAGGCTTTTACCCAAGGCATTTGGAGAGACAGACAGAAAACTCGAAATAACATTCGGAAGATTCTCTCAAAAACCTTGAAGAAGAAAAACTATGCGCTCCTTGTGGATTCAGTTTGGATCTATTTTTGGACTTTTGTCAGGGCTTCCTTCACAAATCCAGTCATTTGCCTAACATGATTGCTTTCAGACCACGAGTGTTGTGACAAGAGCACAAACAAGGAGTTTTAAAAAAAATTGGTCACAGAGAAACTTTGACTGTGCACGCGCGGCTTAATTTCTTTCAGAACGAATCAACTGAACAACGGCTGTCCTCAAAATGCAACACTGTTGCGGGATTACTGTAAATATTCTTCTGTTTTTCACTCTGGCCCTGCAGCCGTCCAGCGCTCAGTATCATGGCGAGAAGGGCATCTCCATTCCCGAGCACGGCTTCTGTCAGCCCATATCGATACCTCTCTGTACGGACATCGCCTACAATCAGACCATTATGCCTAACCTTTTGGGTCACACCAACCAGGAGGACGCCGGGTTGGAGGTGCACCAGTTCTACCCCCTGGTGAAAGTGCAGTGCTCCATGGACCTGAAGTTCTTCCTCTGCTCCATGTACGCGCCGGTTTGCACAGTGCTCGAGCAAGCCATCCCGCCGTGTCGCTCCCTGTGCGAGCGCGCGAGACAAGGCTGCGAGGCCCTCATGAACAAGTTCGGCTTCCAGTGGCCCGAGCGACTGCGCTGCGAGAACTTCCCGGTCCACGGCGCGGGAGAGATCTGCGTGGGCCAGAACACCTCGGACGCGGGAAGCCCGACCTCAAACCCGACGCCCTACGTGCCAGAACTGATCACACTACAGCCGAGCGTGGTCAGACCCAGCCAGCAATTCACATGCCCGCTGCAGCTCAAAGTGCCCACTTATCTGAAGTACCACTTCATGGGCGAGAAGGACTGCGGGGCGCCATGTGAGCCCACTAGACCCAACGGATTGATGTATTTTAGAGAGGAAGAGGTCAAATTTGGTCGGCTCTGGGTGGGCATTTGGTCCATTTTGTGCTGTGTGAGTACACTCTTCACAGTTCTCACATACTTAGTGGACATGAGGAGGTTCCGTTATCCGGAGAGGCCCATCATCTTCCTCTCCGGGTGTTACTTCATGGTGGCTGTCGCATACGCAGCTGGCTTTTTCCTTGAAGACAAAGTCGTGTGCATTGACAAATTCAACGACGATGGTTACAAGACTGTTGCGCAGGGGACCAAAAAAGAGGGCTGCACTATCCTCTTCATGATCCTCTATTTCTTCGGCATGGCGAGTTCAATCTGGTGGGTCATTCTGTCCCTCACATGGTTCCTTTCTGCGGGAATGAAGTGGGGTCATGAAGCCATCGAGGCCAACTCTCAGTACTTCCACCTGGCCGCGTGGGCTGTCCCAGCAGTCAAGACCATCACCATCCTCGCCATGGGCCAGGTCGATGGCGACCTCCTCACCGGTGTGTGTTACGTTGGCATCTACAACGTGGACTCGCTGCGTGGCTTCGTCCTGGCGCCGCTTTTCGTCTACCTCTTCATCGGCACCTCGTTTCTCCTGGCCGGCTTCGTGTCACTTTTCCGCATCAGAACCATCATGAAGCACGACGGTACCAAGACGGAGAAGCTGGAGAAGCTGGAGAAGCTGATGGTGCGCATCGGCGTGTTTAGTGTGCTCTACACGGTTCCCGCGACCATCGTGATCGCCTGCTACTTCTACGAGCAGGCTTTCCGGGAGCAATGGGAGAAGACCTGGCACATGCAGACGTGCAAGCGATTCGCCGTCCCTTGCCCGGTCAATAACTTCGCCCCTATGTCTCCAGACTTTACGGTGTTCATGATAAAGTACCTGATGACCATGATCGTAGGAATCACCTCTGGATTTTGGATATGGTCTGGGAAAACTCTGCAGTCGTGGCGCAGGTTTTATAAAAGACTCAGTAATAGCAACCAAGGCGAGACGACGGTATGAAAAAGAAGCGAGTCTGTGTTTGTTTTTGGCCAGGCTATGAATGATCATGCAACTTTTCTCTGAGATGAATGTCTCGAGCGGAGACATGGCGAACCGTTACGCGAAACGAGACTTGTTGAGTGAGTTTTGTGGACACTACTGTGTGCCTATGCGTTTCCACGGTGGAAGCGGACCATCATGAACAGTGTTATCAGCCTGAGTCTGTTTTGGGTTTTCTCATGTATGTGAAAAAGACATTTGAGTGTATTTCTGTGTAACACGATATCATTTGCATATGTGATCTCTGTAGACAGTAGCCTACTGAATGCGTTGCGCAATGCTCACGGTTCTGTACCTGAAATTTCGGAAGTAATTTGCCTTATACACATAACAGGGGACTTGTATGACTTTCGCAGCCCTATACGTCGACAATCATGCATACTTCATGGACCGTCAAGTACGCATTAGGATTGGGATTCTTATATGCATGTGTACAGCTGTGAATTTATGCAAGCTCCCTTTAAACGATGTAATGTGTAAATAATCACCCTTTCTCAAAGAGTATATGTATTTATGAAAATAATCTTGTTGTTTTTTACTTGGTTTTTAAAATTTGGTAAGAGACCTTTGTATCTGTACAGTTTCGCTGAATAAAATGATTAGATTTTTAACGAACTGACTCATTTTACTGAAAAGTTTTTTTTTTTTTTTTATGATGTAAACAAAGAAATGTAGATGTGGAAACGGGCTTCTCTGTTTAACATTTAGCATTTATTGTAAGAAAATTAAAGTTAACTACAAAATAAAGTCAGCCTCAAAGAATAAGACCTTTCTACATGGTAATATTCGGTGCATTATTGAACAAATTATTTAGAGAATTACTGCATTACTGAGTTGAAGTGTAAAAGCGGTGCTTTAGCGCCACCCACAGGTGACTGAAATGGCGTGAACACTTCATCACAAGCTGAGTTGACTTTACAGCAAGTATGAACTGCAAAGACGAGTTGTAGCCCTCAAACCGTATTCACTTTAGCCCTTAATCCTGTAATTGTGGACAAATGTGGGCACAGAGGCCTCTGGTATGATCCTAATTTTTAGTTTTTATAAATCTTATCTCACTGTCTTCGATAGAGTTTTGTCTACCCATTTATGGTGTTTTTTTTTATATTTGGGGGGTATTTTTGAATTTATTTACTTCAAAAAGTACCTTATTTTCTATGTAAATTACGCTTCTGTTTATGTTTTATTTTATTAATTTTTTTAACTACATTAAAATATCATTCCAATAAGTTCTTAGAGCTAAAACCTAAAGATGAAGTGACTTTGCTGTCACCTGGTGTCTTATTTTGGCTTATTTTAGAATGCTGTAAATTACAGTTTTCCCATTCATTTCTATGGGTGCCCATTTTTGACCCAAATACGAGATTAAGGATTTTTTTTTTCACCCACTAAACATTGTAGAATTGATTTTAAAAAAAAATGTGTGTGTTCAGGAGGCAAACTTAGGAAAAGTAGCGAAGTTTATACCGCTCAGATCAAGGGAAGTATTTTTTAAAAATCAAAACTATTTTGCCCACATTTGTCCATAATACAGTTTTAGGGTTAAGAATGAAACCTACTTTATATTTAAGCAAAAGTTTATGTTATCATCAACTGTTACACAGTTTATCTCTTGTGCTACTGAAAAGCTTTAATATATTTAAATACATCGTTTTATAACGGTCTTGAAAGAAAGACTTATATTGATAAGAATGTTAATATCACTCTTTGAAAAGAAAGGTTCCAAATGAGGGTTTTCGCAGTAATGCCATAGGCAAACCATTTTTGGTTCCTAAAAAGAAAGTTTCAGTGAACAGGTTTTAAAAGAACTTTTTTTCCTAGTGAGAAGAACTTTTAAAAAATCTAAACAATATTTTTCCCACAAAGACCCTTTTGTCCAATGGAAAGTTTTCATGGATGTTAAAGATTCTTCATAAGCTTATGCCAGTAAAGACCCTTTGTTTTTAAGAGTGCACTGCAAAGGAAAAGGATCACCAAAATAATATATTGCATATTATATTGTGAATAAAATACATTAATGTTACATTTTATTTCAAGAATCACATTCTGTACCAATAATTGTGTTGCAAACTCTCTTGAATGCCTACAAGCTAGGATGCTCTGCACCTTTAAATATATTTAAATCTGTTGAGCCCCTCACATATACAGTATGCTGTTATTTGGATGTGCGAAGTGCCCTTATTAACTACAGTATGACACTCACAAAAGCAACCGATTTGTGATATACACATTAAGTAAAACATACAGAAGGAAAAAAAGATTTTCCTTATTTTACTATAATCGTTAGCCTATTCTTTTTCAATGATTTCAATGTAGGTCAAGAGATCAGCTCAAATGGTGTTGGCAGGTTAATGTTGAGTATCCTGACATTTTGTCCTCATCAACCTGCATCTGCTCAACTAGGGTTCTGTTCATCGTCACAAAGTATGATCTCACAGAGTAATAAAATGATTCACCATGTAACACAAAGCACATAACCATGTGGTTGAAGTGGCTAGTGTTGTGGTTTAAAGGCATCCACAGTCTGAAGAAGTCTTTTCTGTGACGCTCAGTTTAAACCTCCAACCTCTTGCTTTGAGTATATTGAAGCACAAGAGCTACTCAAAAGATGCGCAGTAAATACATTACACAGGCCTACTTTACAATTTTCTATTTGTTAACATTAGTTCCATTTGTTAAACTAACAATGGAAAAAAAACTTTTAAAGTATTAATAATCTCAATTAATTATAACATTTACTAATACATATTAAAATCATAAAAAAAATCAAGTTGTTTCTGTTAATATAGTTAATGAACCTTAGCTAACATGAACATTTGTATTTGTAACATTAAAACATGTAAAATGACTTAAAAAAACGAGTTGATTATAATTTTGCTCAACTTTTTTCAAAAGTGAAAAAACTTATTTTGAACAGTTAAAGCAATGTAAAAACATAATTCTGTATTGTCAAAACGTATTTATCATATCATTTTTTACAGTGCACTGTCATACAATATTATTTTGCCTCGTGCTTTTGTGGCCAAACTGTCACGTATCCTTGTACTATTTTAGAATACTATATTATTTTTTTATTCATATTTTTATTTTTACATTTAATTTTTTCATTTTAATTTGTAAAATATTAACAATTGTGTTGTGTTTGTCATTTTTATAAGTTTTTGTTTTTAAAAAGAATATGTCTATATTTCTTTACAGTTTTAGCTATTTTAGAACATACATAGCTATTTTAGTACATACATAAGTTAAACTAAATAAAAATGAGAAATGCTAGTCTTGGCAAAGTTTTTTTTTTATTTTTGATTTGATTTCAGTTAACATTTATTTTATTTCAAGCAACAAAATGTGTTTTTTTTATGGTTTGATCACACTTTATATTACAGTATTTGTACATAAAGCATAGTTAGGCCAAGAAAGTACTGGTAATAGGGTAACTACAGGTTAAGGTTAGGTTAAGGGATTGTCACTGTAAAAATATTGTTGGTTTAACTGATTTGACAAAAAGTTGCGATAACAAATCATGAAAATAAATGTTTAGTGTTATAACCCAGTTATTGTATTAAGTACAGAGTATGTGCAGAACATGACTGTAAATTAAAGTGCTACTTATTATTTTAATTTTAGTTTCAGTTGACTAAACATGCAGTAGCTCTTACATTAATAAAGGACATCCTGCAGGTCTTTTTGTTGTGGGCTTTAACAATTGCCCCTGTTTGTTTGATTGATGGAGGGGTTTTATGTGAAGGAAGGAAATGTCTATCTCGTGGCACAGTCAATAACACTATAGGGATGTGCTGTACTGGGCATATGACAGGACGTGCCTGTCAAGTTACTCACAAAAAGCTGTGAGCGGTTATCTTCCCTTTGTTTGTATTTTAGGATGGGTTTAGCAAAGGTAGTCAGAGTTGCTGAGCTGACCAGGAGGGGGTAAGAAGTGCTTGGTTGCAACCAAGGAAACAAGAAAACAGTGCTCTGCTGAGGAGCTGTAGAGAGCCTAGCAACACCAAAGCTCAGCAAACACTGACATTTGTAACATGGGCCGAAATGATTCGTACTATGTAAAAGCAGCTGCGGAGATGCTGAACAAACACTCAAATGCATTCTGAGGTAAAGAGAAATGGTCGCTGAAGAGAACTGAGGTACGAGAAACAAAAAACAGTGTTGAACAACTGACTTTTAACTTTCTTTGAAACCTAATTATATCAATAGGTTATATGACAACCTATGTTTTTAAATTGCCTTATTATAACTTTTTTTATTAATTTTACTTTTTTATAAGTTATACAATATTTAACTCATTATTTTAAGTATATAAATGTGTTGAAATTACTTAAATGTCAAAAATGACTGCACTTAAAAATTTAAGGCAGCAACTTTTTTAAAACAGTGATATTTCTATATATAATAACAATATTACAAATTGAAAAGGCCTTTTTGATTTTAATAACTTGTACATGTACTTTTTCAGCATTCATTCAAAGAACATTATCAGCATCACAATGAAAGATTTTGTCCTGTCATTGCTGAGTCGCGGGTACGGCCAAATTGTGCCCGATGGTAATGATGGAAGACTGGAGGTCTGTTTCGAACCTGAGGTAAATGTTTCTAACATATGTGTCTATAAGGCCAGTTTTAATGAGTATGCATTAGAACAGTCAACAGAAACATGATATTTTCCTAACTAGGACTACTTCAACTGGAAATCTCAGCCTTCCTTGCTGCGTCTTACGAGCAGTGGCCGTTTTTTTGGAGGCCTAGAGCCGGCACCACCTAAGACCTACAGTACAAGGAGAGGGCCTCTTATTCTGTATTCAGAAGATCTTGCACTGGCATACCACTCTGGCCAGGTTAACAGGAAGAGAAAGGCTCCTAGCTACCCGAAACAGGAAGTTGAGAAGCAGCTGCACACACTGCAAGACCTGACTGAAGCAATTTTGGCTTTTGGAAAAAATAAGGTACATTTGTGAAATAGAAGAAATAATAACACTATTCCCCTTCACTCTAAAAAAATTGCCTTAAACAATGGATTACTTTATTTTTTATTATTTAAGAAAACGTTTAAATTTGAGTTCAAAATCCAAAACTTGTCTCGACAGCCAGAGCAAATTTGACTTAGTTCATTTTTTAAAAGTGTACCGTCTCCCCCAGTGCAAAAAATAAATATATATTCACTCACCTAAAGGATTATTAGAAACTGGTGACTGTGGGGGCCATTTTAGTACAGTGAACTCATTGGCATGTTCAAGAAACCAATTTGAAATGATTCAAGCTTTGTGACATGGTGCATTTTCCTGCTGGAAGTAGCCATCAGAGGATGGGTACGTGGTGGCCATAAAGGAATGGACATGGTCAGAAACAATGCTCAGGTAGGCCATGGCATTTAAACAAATTGCAACAAAGGGGTCTAAAGTGTACCTAGAAAACACCAACACCAGCCTGCATAGTGGTAACAAGGCATGATGGATCCATGTTCTCATTCTGTTTATGCCAAATTCTGACTCTACCATCTGAATGTCTCAACAGAAATCGAGACTCATGAGACCAGGCAACATTTTTCCAGTCTTCAACTAACCAATTTTGGTGAGCTCTTGTAAATTGTAGCCTCTTTTTCCTATTTGTAGTGGAGATGAGTGGCACCCGGTGGGGTCTTCTGCTGTTGTAGCCCATTCGCCTCAAGGTTGTGCGTGTTGTGGCTTCACAAATGCTTTGCTGCATACCTCGGTTGTACCGAGTGGTTATTTCAGTCAATGTTGCTCTTCTATCAGCTTGAATCAGTCGGCCCATTATCATTCTCTGACCTCTAGCATCAACAAGGCATTTTCGCCCATAGGACTGCCGCATACTGGATGTTTTTCCCTTTTCACACCATTCTTTCTAAACCCTAGAAATGGTTGTACGTGAAAATCCCAGTAACTGAGCAGATTGTGAAATACTCCGACCGGCCTGTCTGGTACCAACAACCACTCCATGCTCAAAATTGCTCAAATCACCTTTCTTTCTCATTCTGACATTCAGTTTGGAGTTCAGGAGATTGTCTTGACCAGGGCCACACACCTAAATGCGTTGAAGCAACTGCCGTGTGATTGGTTGATTAGATAATTGCATTAATGAGAAATTGAACAGGTGTTCCTAATAATCCATTAGGTGAGTGTATATTAAAAAAAAATAATATACTTGTAAAAGTATGCACATTCAATGCAATTAAGCAAACATCTTTTTCACAGGGGTAACTATAAAAAAATAAAATCCATTTCAATCAATTTAATTGTATTTAGTGGGTGTTGCACACAACAATGTTAATGCTGTTTGCAGAGGTCATGTGTTTCTGGGAATATCACTGTTCCGGGTATAAAGATTTAATGGTGAAGTTTAAAAAAAACATTAGAAACTGAAAGGCAGCTGAACCAAACAGTCGTGTGATTAATGTACCAGGTTACACACACGTACATGACCAAGTACTGCATGAAACAGTTCCTTATCTGTCAGATTTCTTCAGTTAAGAGGCCCAGATCTACTACAAATGGACTATTGTGCAGCTCTGAAGTTGCCTCCTGATTGCCAGAGAGCAAGAGAGGTGGGATATAAACTTAAAGGACAGACCAGTACACAGTAAATCTTCTAAAATTTAACTGCCCAGAAAAGTTGAAACTCAGGTTCAGGTCAGGGTGACAGACTCTGTGGTAGTATTAGTTTACCGGCCCTCATTGGCGAACCACTACTCTGGCCAGAGAGGTAACACCATCCTGAAGTCAACTAGGTGAAATGTGGTATACAGTTCACTTCATAATCTTTCACTGAGTGAAACTGCACCTGGACAGGGGAGATAACACTTCCGTCAGTACGCAACACACACACACACGGTCAGTCCTCAAGGTGTCTTCAATTTCCACACATTCCAGGTCAATCAAACGGGTGATTTACCCATAATGCGCCATTTGACCTCTGTGAGATGTGAGCTGCAAATCTTAATAAAGGTGTCCTGAGGGATTTTACATAAGCACACAGTCCACAATCTATCCAATTCCCGTACACCACAATCTGCTAATGGTCCACAGCCCTTGACTGTTCCCTCATATGCACATTATATCACTCCTCTCTCTGCGCCCCCGAAAATCATCTGTCGATGCGGAAGGATATCAAAAGAATCACCAAATCAGGTGTGCATCTTGGATGAGAAACGTAAACCCCATGGTGGCTTCCATTTCACAATGCCCATCTTCTATCATTCAAACATAAACCCGCATGAACCATCAGAAGAGAAACCGTGATCAGCAGGAAAAGATGAACTTCAATGACACAGACAAATTGCTGCAGTATGTGACCGAAATGGCACTCTCTCGGGGCAAAAGGGGAATAATCCAGTTGATGAGAGCTGAATGCAGTAATCAGTGTGTTTACCTCATAGACGTGAGGGTTTGGACAGGGATTTGGAGGGGATCCAGATAGAAGGGTCTTCGGTGTGGGTGGCCTCTGTGAAGTCTCGATCTGTCACGTTCAACTGCAGCAGAATGAAAACAACACAATGAAAAAAATGGCCGCCATAGTCATCTTCAGCAAAGCGAATTCAAACAGATAATGTTCATAATTGTAAAAATAACACCAGTTATTTTTAACAAATTTAAATGACTAAAATAATCAAAACCAACACAACTCCAAACAAAACCAACTAAAAACTATTGTACAAAATTGAAACTTTACAACCCACATGCATTCAACATTTTTAAAGGGGTGATGAACTGAGAAATCAAATTTTCCTTGAGCTTTTGACATCTAGGTCATTATATTATAAGAATATCCTGTAAGTTTCAGAACTGAAAATGTCCTTGTTAGTCCAATAAAAGCTTTTATTGACACCAGACTCAGCAAACAACTCGTTTTTAAAAGTGGGGAACTATGACGTCAAAGAGGATAAAACACCACCCTCACAGAAGAAGATCAGCACCTACTTCAACACGTCCACCGATTTGCACATTACACGTATAGCTAAATAACATAGGCCTACCTCGTGATGACAAACCGGATCGAGTGTAAAACTCATTATAATATGCAAAACTGTAATCCACTCACAGCAGCGGGCGTTAAAACGCCCATAAAAACCGAGGGTTTTTAAGCTAGGCTCAAAACTAGGGTACAAAATAGCCTATTACTTAATCATTTTTATGTTTTTTAATGTAAAAACCAAGCGAACGTCATAAGTTGACCTCAGACAACAATAAAAAAAAATGACTCCTTTAAGGGGGGGGGGGTTGTTAATGCGTGCACATGAATGATAAATGATGTGCATGGAGAAATAATTTATAATAAAAACGGCAATATTCCATTTTGATTTCATGGGAACTGATTTCAAAGCATTGATGTCTCGCACCTGGTATCTCTTTATTATTATTCAATGTTCAACCCAGGAGATCAAAACATCTCAGTTCTTTTAGATTATTTTGAAATAATTGCAAGGTATTGCATCCAAAAGAATTCCAATGTGACCTCCAGCTTTACATTTTCATTTTCCACTGACATTTAATACAAATAGGGGGAACCTTGAAAATAAGTGAACCTTGAAAGAAGGTGAACATCATGTTTGAGTGGTTTCAAAAGAGATAGTTAGAGATAATGTGGAACAGTTCCATGTTTTTGTAGAGGCCTAAGAAATCATGAATATGTGAAAATCAAACATGTTCTTTTTATATGATTCTTTGTTTCTTTTAGGCAAAAGTTGGATCTTTTGCTGGTGTAACGCACGGCTTATTGCCAGATACTAAACATTTTACACAGAATATCCAGAGAAGAACAGAAGAGAATTATAATCTAAACCAGGTTAAAGGTGAGGATCTTTAAACACTTAAACACTCTGGTCAACCTTTTAAAATAGTTAATAGGCTTAGAATTTATATTTATTTGTTCTTAGACAGATTTATAGAATAAAGGGTAAAAATGCTTTTACATTATTGTTCATGTTACATTTAACATAATTTATAATAATTAATTAATAAACCATAATGGGTAAAGCTACAGTAACGTCTTCAGTCAGCTTGATCTCCTTTCCATCTAAACTGGTTATACATCTTAAACCTAGTTGTCAACGTTTAAGCAGTATGATAACCATGATAACCATATTCATCAGCACAGTCACTCGCCGAAGCACAACCAAAACAATGTTCGGTATACAACGTTAATTAAACGTAACGTTAGAAATACAGCTGTTCATTGTTTGTTCATGTTAGTTCACAGTGCATTAACTAATGGTAAGTAATAGCCCTTTTGATTTTAGTAATGTATTAGTAAATGTAAAATTAACATTAACAAAGAAATGCTGTAGAAGTGGTTCATTATTAGTTCATGTTAACTAATGTAGTTAACTAATGTTAACTAACCTTGTTGTAAAGTGTTATCCAATGTTCTTCCGCAAATGCATGCAGTTTTTTTTTTACTGCTGCAAGAGGGTCAAAAGTTAGTACCTTTACATTTTTAAATAAAAAATACAAAACTGTTATTTGTATTTCAATAATATTTCATAATACTGTTTTTACTGTATTTTTGATCAAGTAAATGCAGTGTTGTTGAGCATAAGAGACTTCTTTAAAGAACATTACACAATATCTTATCACAACAACATCCCATATCTATCATAAAATTATAAATCTCATTTTGTTTCAGGAGAAAAAGCTGGACAGGTCAGATACCAACCACATTTCCTCTGTTCCCCTCGACCCAAAAGGGCCACCCTTGGCCCTCTGCCGCCCATAACAGAAGGTTTGGTACATGTACAAATTCATGAGGAAACTCACGCTGCACCAGGTATAGTTCATGAAGTCTAACACAAATGACTCTTACGATCAGATTAACGTTGACGAAAACAGTATTGAGTCAAAAACATTTCTTGATTAGATCAAAAACATCCTGTGCAGGACAGCAATGCCAGTAAACAAACAAAATAACAAACAAAAAAAAAATGTTGCCAGTGTTTAGTTAAAGTCCATTCAGAAAGTGATGTTTACATCTTTAGGATCTTTAACACGCATCAGATACCTGCTTCTGAATAACCTCCATTCATATTGGGACTTTTAGTTTTTACTTTCATTGCCAAAAGGAAGTAAAAAGTGAATCCTAAAATGTAAATCATTTTGATTAGCTTCTGCTCGCTGTGAAACTTCATTGGAAGCAGAGAATGACGGTTTCGCTTTAACCTAACGTTAAAATCAATCTTGATTCCAGATGAACAAATGACCTTTAAGACTAAAGTACAGAAAGATGAACTGAGAGAGAAGCCGAAAGAGAGAAAAGAACAGGATAGGAGTCTCAGGATAGCGGTTGACTCATGGAGAGCTCAGATGAGTCCGATCCCTGAGACAGAACCGGCACATCAGACTGAAGATAAAACAGTGAGTCCAATAACCAGATGAATCTTCTTAGTATGTTGCTCTGGCTCTTTTCGTCTGTTTCCCTTCAGTGACCTGAAATTCCCTTTAACCAGACACTTGGAAAGGTCTACTCATTAATAAACATCTGATCTTTAATAGTGTCTGATTTCATTTTTCTTGGTTAATCTCGGTCACTGATGTAATGTACTGTTGTTTATGTGAAGTATTTGGCTTTTGAACCTTTACAATGAAAAACAGAGACCAGAAATGTTAAGGTGAAGTACTGTACATGTGAATTTGATCAAATGTCTAAATGATTTCCACTTTTTAGTCCATGTGTTTTTCCAAACTACATGACCATAACTTCAAAACTTAGCTAAAGAGCTTTTCATTATTTTCCTTTGACATATACCAGATACTCCCACATCTTAACGACCATCTGAAGGATCTAAATGGCCGTGGGAAGCACACTCGGATGCAGAGTGTAAATGGTGTTGCAGAGACGGGCCCTCTAAGGTCAGTGTATGTGGATTCGTCTTTGGAATACAGCCCACTCTCACGGGTCAACTACTACGGTGGACACATGGAGGGATCCCGCCAGAGTAAGACAAGAACTACATCAGTATTTTGCGAACCATTTAAAGTCCATAAAATACACATGACATCCAGATACAAGCCGGAAGTCATAGTTTTGATAAGTATGTTCTGCAAAACTGTTTGCTTTAGTTAGACATTGTGGGGGTGAAACGCACGAGAGGAGAGTGAAAAGAGAAACAGATCCCAGCTTCACTGTCTTCCACTTACCAGCTATCAACCAGAGCCCGCTGGTCAACTCAGACTCTGACATTACTTCAACAATGGTAAGAATTGGGTATTTGGTCATTACATTGCAAGAAGAAATGGGTGAAGATACATTTATCTCAACAATTAACCTAAACCAATGTACTTCTTATAAACAAAATATCAAACTTGAAATAAATAACTAAATAAATAAATAAATCTCCCTCTTGTTTTCTATTTTTCTGCATGTTAACTATTAACTTTTTGTTAACTTCTTGACAAAACTCGTCAAACATTTTCAAAAGAGAAACGTAAGAACACCAAGGCTCTTATTGAAGCGCAAACCTCAAATTGACTCTTTACTATAAATAAACCTAAAAAATGTCTCCTTGTTCTCTCTTTTCTGTTTTCTGCATGTTAACATCTGCTCTAGCTTCTGTCCTACTCTGAATTACTCTTCCACAAGAGGATATGGATATTTTTGAATCTCATATAATAAATAAATTGCTTATCATTTTCCTCATTTGTAATTGACAACATTTTTAAATGCTAATATTGTGAAGTATCTTTGCAAATTAAAATAAACGTTTTTGAATAGAATTTAAAATGCTGAATTTTCAGCATCATTACTCCAGTGTTCAGTGTCACATGTTCCTTCAAATTCATTCTAATATGCTGATTTGTTGTACGTTTTGTAATATTATTAATGTTCTGCTGCTTACTGTTTTCAATGGTGATATAGTAAAATAATTGTTTTTTAATACATTTTTGATTTAATTTGGATTCAATTGCTAAATAAAAGCATAAAAAACAATAAGAACCTTTGAACGTTTCTGAAACATCCAAATAACAATACCATTGTCTTTCATAAATTCACCATATCTTCTGAAAATGACTGAAGTGCATACAAATTATGTAATTCTTTTGGAATTGTCTTGAAGAATAAACCGGAAATAACAGATAAAAAAAGGAGCAGTGAGAATTTACCTCAACAAGAACTACACACACATCTCCCTGGCATCAAAGTGGGAACTACACATGAAAAGATCTCAGAGAGCCGTGTGCACAGGAAAGTGCTGCTGCTTTTCCCTGCACAAACAGAACATACAGACACCCATCAGCCGGATGGTATGCAACATCACATTGTACACTTTTACCAACAAGTACATTTGCATAATGGATTAGTTTCTTATCCCACATTTTACCATTCTTTCTTAATTGTGCCTTAGATGACCTTCATAGGACCCCTGTTCAGGAGCGTAAGCCATATGGTGATGTGCATGCAGAGGGGCTCGGACAAAAAAGACAGGACCCTCTCTCTGACAGCAAGTGCAGGATTACAGAGATGGACCTCGGGCACATCATGTGGTCTGACGATCTAGAAAAGGGAGGTAGTGATATATTTACTTCTTTTTTAGATTTTACACAATGTGGCTGCTGATATGATTCACAACATATATGGTGAAAGAAATACAACAAAAACATTCCATTATAGCAAGATCGTTTTTGTGATATGATCTTTTTAAGCATCCACCTGCCCAGTGTGCTAAACAACTGAAGCATTACCTGATCTGAACTCAAAAAGTGGTGCTGCAATTCAATTCAAACTCAAAAACTCGTCAAACATTTTCAAAAGATAATATTACTGAAGTACATATTGTAAGAACACCTGGGCGCAGAACTCAAATTGACTCATCCTGAAAGTCAACAGCACTGCGGTATTGAAAACAGGTCAAGTGATGAAAAAATATAAGAACACTGCCAAGACTGTGAGTCTGGAATTTTATAATAACAGTTATATATGAATTTGGTTTGAATGTACTTTCGAGGAATATTTCAGTATTTATTATAAATGACTTGGGGTCCCTCGAAATCTTTAATCAAAACAACTACCCTCCCTCTTGCAGCAACATTTCTTCTCTTCTCTGATGATGCGTGTTTACTGGCACGAGGGCGGAGCAACCTGTCACTCACATGACATCACAGCAGTAGCAAACCACAGCCATCCAATCAATTCCCAGTGAACAAAATCAAGTCCCGATTTGTTTCTTGTTTGAAAAGCCGTTTCCCTCTGATAAACGTCACAATAGCAAGAAAAGATGTATTCAAAAATCTAATGCATATTCATGAGTTAAACCTTCGTTTAATGTCTTGCCATTTTCTAATAGCTCTTTCTCATGTTTAACCATTTTATTTTTCACGCTGCTGACCGCCTTTCCTCTTCTCATTAGTTGACACATACTATCCTCATCCAGAGCTTAAAGCTGTACGCTCCAGGGCTGCAGTGGCTCATACAGTGAAGTCGTGCTGGTAGAGCAAAGCCCCCCTCTGAGGGCCGAGCACCTCTTCATGTGTGGCTCAGCTAGTGCTTGGCTGCTGCTAAATGAAGTCTTTAGACAGGCAGAGCTGTGGGGAGTGAGGACAGGGGTTGGTGGGAGATCTCAGGGGCTGATACGGTAAATAACAACACAGAGGCTTAGGTTAAGATGCCCACTAGCGCACTGAGACCTATGGAAAACAAGTCTTTATGAGAATTTCTGAGCATTTCTGGTTCAGTCTGAAGTGAATTATTTTCCTGTAATTCCCCTTTAGATCAACATCCCCCCCTTGGTCCATTGCCACCCCTGGTGGGCCGGAGGGGTCCTGGTAAACAGAGCTCCATGGCTGTGTACAGACAGAACCTACATGACCCTGCAGACACAACAGAAGCACAGACAGGAAACACTAGAGGCTGTCTTCCTCCGGAGCTCAGAGGTAGCCGGATGCTTCATAAAGACGGTTCAAAACAAGTTACAAGAAAAGCTGGCCAATTTTTAGCTGGGCACTAGAGTCTAGGGTATACAAGCAGGTCAATGGTTAATCCTTCATAAAGTCAAAAACAATATCATATTTATTACATTGTATAATATTTAATAAATATATATTATAGACATATTTGTATAGTTATATTTGACCATAATATAGTTTTTTTTAGTCTTTCTTTGAGTCTATACAACTATGAGGAAAATGTATATATATATATATACACACACACACACACACATATACATATATATATATATACACACACACACACACCCATATATATATATATATATATATATAATATTTAATAAATGCAGTTGCATTAAATATATATTTTTATTTTGAGTGTATACAACTATTATATAAACTCAAAATATATATACGTCTATATATATATATATATATATATAATACAATAAATTAATAAATAAATGTTTACATAATATTACAATATATAATATTTTAAAAATAAATATAATATTAAAATTATAGACATATTTGTATAATTAAATTTAACCAGTAGGCATAGATTTCCTTTCAGTTTAAACGATTAGTGTACTTGCTCAAATTACTGTACGAGTCTATATCAATATAATGGTAAATTGTTAATTTACAGTACAGAATATATTTATGATATACATATAAAGGACTGCTTTAGAAACATGTTTGCTTTTAAAGATCTGCATGCTAAAAACATTTTTTGATTTGTCAATATTGTGCATTTCAGCAAATACTCAAACATACAAACATGAACATGTAAACATTACATTAAACGCAGAATAGTGAGATTATTCTGATATTAAATATGAAAATACCATTTGACAACATAATTCTGTGACACTTTGTTTGATATGTCTAGTGCAATGACATACTTTATACATTTTTACATGTGACCCAAGTGTCCGAATTCATCTTGCTCTTTACAGAGCAATTTCAACTTTTTTCTTTAGGTTTGTCAAGTCTGTCTGTTTGAATCTGTGTGTTTTCAGAATGGGAAGGGAGCAAAGCATTGGGCACCTTAATAATGGGTCCTGATGGTGAAATCATTCGCTTGTCTCTCTGGGATCCCGCAGTTGACACCGAGGACCACCCAATAAAGGGTGATGTCACACAAGGTCACGGTAATCGAGGCTTTACTTGGTTTTATATTTTGCTCAACCAAATAAACAGAATACACAATGTCTATTGGCTTTTGCTCACATTGAGCTCTTAAAGAAAAGGGAAAAGAAATGCATTAAAATGTTCACAATATGTTACTCTTAATGACGTGTGTTATATGTTGTAAATATAACTTGTTTTCAGTGGAGTCTGTGTTAGTATTTTACAAGGACAGAGTAGGTGCTGGGTAAGAGTTCAGGTCAAATAAAGGTACTCTGAAGGGAAAACACAGTAGACAAAACAAAAATAGAGAGAGGAGGCCCGTTACAGACAGAGATGATGTTAACGTGAAGAATGTACCTCTTTGTTTCCAGTTCTTAAGGTTGTGACTTCTGAGGGAGATTTGAAACACCCTTGGACTATCATTATACAGGACCACACCACAGATGAAGGTTAGAGTTTCCTAGCCAAAGCACAGGAAAAATGTACTTTGTGCATTACAATAATATGACACATACATTCAATTACACTATTCATATGTTTGGGTTTGGTAAGATTTTTTAAATGTTCTTATGCTCACCAATGCTGCATTTGTTTGTAAAAACACAAAAAAACAAACAAAAAAATAAAAAAGAAAGAGAAAACCTTATAGCATAGCTGTTCTCTTTCAGTCGCTACAGTGCGAGTGCAGTGGTGATCGCGAGCTTTGAGCTCTCAACTACTGTTTTAACAGCAACAGATTCTTAAGGTTTGTGTGTGTTGAGGGTTAGAGGGCGGGAAAGTGAGTGCTTCACTGTTTCAGTTCACTGTTCAGCAGTGTTGTGCAAGTTACTTCCAAACTGTAATACATTAGGTATTACTTGTTACTGTTATTTAAAAGTAATTCATTACCTTACAATATTACTGTCCCAGAATTGTAATGCGTTACATTACTCATGTATTACTTTTGAGTTACTTTCACCAAAATAACTAAGTAGAACTTAACTTTTGGGCTGTAACGATATGCAATATGAAACCGAAATCGCGATTCGCCACATGACTCAGATCCACGAACCTACAGAATTGCGACAAACCTCTTCCAACTCCAGCGTTATTCTCCTTACCGTCCAGATCCAATGCTGCCTTATCCTTAAATTAGGCTATTAGTATTATTTGAAGTTAACATTATAAAATACGTAGACCTACACCACAAAACTAGTTGAGGATAAATTATTTAAAATTGGGGAAGTCCAGCATTATGGACATGACATTTGCAGTCAAAACTTGAAATAAAAATTCTCAGAAAATACATGTATTGAAACGTATATAGGCTACTTCCTTAAAGGACTCCAGACATTAGACAAATATCAGTCTATGTTTTAAAATCGATTTTTTGTAATTCTGTTAATTACACTGCGCAAATCGGATGAGGAAGGGTTGGCTCTCCAGTCTCCATAGAACTTAAAATATTCATTTTATTTTAGTTTTCGTGTTCGCATTTATGAGGAAAAACAATGTTACAGACGCGACCGCTCTGAACTGGCACTAAAAGACTGCTTTAAAACTTTCACATAGTCTGTTGCCTTTAAGAAGTAAAAGCAGACAATACACTGTAATACAACTGTAATACAAGCCTCACTGAACATGTAACGAGTAAAATATTACTGAAAATTGATTAGTAATGCCTTACACTACTGCGTTACAGCAAAAAGTAATATGTTACTGTAATGTATTACTTTTGTAATGCGTTACTCCCAACACTGCTGTTCAGTGTTGCTGAGGTCCCTGTGTGCTCCGGCACTGGAGATGTTTCCTGAAAGAGCAACACGGGTGCGTTTGCGGCTTTTTCAAAAAAAAAAAAAATTGTCATGTCCACCTGTTTCTGGATGCGGAGATGTTTCCTGAAAGAGCAACACGGGTGCGTTTGCGTCTTTTTCAAAAAAAAAATTTGTCATGTCCACCTGTTTCTGGATGCGGTCCCTTTTCCTCTCTGACGGTCACGATTGTTGCGTCACATGTTGCAGCACGCTAAAGCAGCTTTTGTGGGCCGTACATGTTCCCATTGCGGGAATATGATTGTAGCAGTCTTCTGATTGAGACTCGCCTTCGTCCGCAAAGCTCGAGTCCCCATTACCATGCCCCACCCTCGGGTGCTGTGTGGGATGGGTGAACGGATAGTGATGGAGGTCTCGTCCTGTAACCATTCCCTGTGGGCTCCTCACTCCTCCATCACACCGCAGCCAATGGAATTCCTGTTAGACGTGCTGGTTCCTCTGTAATGGACCGATTATCCATTTAAATTGGGGTTTCCCCATAGGATAAGATGTCGATAACAGCATCGGAGGGTGAGCTGGCCTCTGGAGATGATGACTCGGATGTGCTTTCTCCCTCTGAGAGTTTAACATTGCCCGAGCCAGATCCAGAAATGTCAGCTATGCTGAAACAGGCCGCCGAGGCTGCCGAGCTCAAGTGGATCCCTCCACCATATCCCGTTCAATCTCAGTTGGAGGATTGGTATCTTGGGGCGGGCCGCGCTGGTTCTCAGTTCACCGCCCCAAGAGCCAAAGGTTCACCGGAGAGCTCAGCAGGTTGTGGATGGCAAACCTTTCTTTGCCAGAAACTGCCTGAATAGCTTTTCCCCCTCACTATCTACCTTTGTGGACCTGCTCATCCGCCTTTTTGCACATCCCTGGCTATCTTGTGGAGATAGGTGTCGTACACCCCACTCAGACAAGCCGGGTCCCTGTCCTCCACCTCACTGCCCAACCTCAGGTACGTCTGTGGTTTCCTGGCCCCTGGCACGGTGTGTGCAAGCCTAAAGATGCTTCCTACCGCTCCAGCTGGCCCAGAAACTACCAGCAGACTCAGCTTGTGATTAATTTCGCTTGTCTTCGCCCTGGCAGTGATATTTTTCATACCTAGGTTATGAGCTGAGATGCCCCCAAGATTAGTGATATTTATCACACATACATGTTGAGTGCTGCTCCTGTCCTGTATGCGCACGTCGTAGTCCTACTTGCAAAGGACGCAATGAAGCCTTTCCTCCAACTGATATGAAGACTGGTTTCTATAAACCCGTACTTCATTGTACCCTAGATATGTGGTGGGTTATGGCCATCTTGGACCTGTGTCAATTGAAACGGGCCCTTTTTCTAAAGCCTCCATCAATTACTTACTACACAGAAATGCTTTTTCAAATGCTTAAGGTTGGCCTGCAGCGACCTGAAGGACAGTACTTCAGATCTCTATCCTTCCGCTCCACAGACCATTCGTTCTGGCATCGAGGGTACTTAGTATCAGTACAAGTCCTACCCTTCGAGTGCTCAATAGCCAATGGCTCTTCAGGTCATCTAGGAGAGAGCAATCTCGCCCACTGGCTGAGTATCTCTTTTTCAGTTAAGGAGAAGGACTCTGTCCAACACATCTCTTCAAGAAGAGTGTTTTAGGCTAGCACTAGAAGTGAGAAAGGGTCCCACTGAAAATTTCAGAGGCTTCTGGGGCATATGGCAGATGCAGCCGCTTGGCTTCCTCCATATGAAGGCCGCTTCAGAACTAGTTTTATGATCGAGTCCACGCACAGCAGTGACTTCCCTGGCCTAAGCCATGTCCCTACCTCACCTTAATTGCAGGGAATCTGGAGACTTTTTTCTAGAGCACTAGATGGTGTTTTAATTGGGATCCCAATCAGTTGACACGTTGACTACCTCGAATGTGAGCAACTGAACCGGAACGTCTCAGTTATGTATGTAACCCTCTTTCCCTGAAGGAGGGAACGGAGACATAGTCCCATCGCCACTATTTGCTGGACCACCGCTGACTCCGAGTTACGCTCGGCTCCTCGGCAAAACACAACTAGTGTGTGCATCCACTTCCGTATTTATACCCGCACCACAGGGGCGGAGTGTGTAATACATTTCACGCACAGCAATTAAATTGGCTCATTTTAATAGTACTCGAAGATGACATGCTCTCTAAGCGTGCTCTCGATCAGTCGACACGTCAACTACGTTGCCGTTCCCTCCTTTTCTGTTTTAATTATATTTTAAAATGCAACTTTTTCCTGTGATGTAAAGCTGAATTTTCAGCATCACATAAGTGTCACGTGATCCTTCAGAAATCATTCTTAAATGCCGATTTGCTGCCTCAGAAACATTTCTCATTATAATCAAAGAAGAAAATAGATGTTCTGTTTTAAACTTTTGTGGAAACAATGATATATTTTTTCAGGATTCCTGGATGAATAGAAAAATATCATTCAAAAAGATTAATTAATAATCAGGTATAATATAATAAAATATAATATAAAACTCATTTTAAAATTCTATAATTTGACTACTCTTGTATAGAGTTTCTATCAGTAGCTGTAGATGTCTTGGCATGGATTCACTTAAGATCCTTTCAGTAAATTTGCATTTTTACATAACCAACTTTTTTTAAAAGAAATTAATCCCATCCTCAAACTCATTTATATGGGCCCCAACAAGCAAAATATGAGTAAAAATAGTACAATACAATGAAAAACACAACTACGCATATAAAGTACATGCCGGCCCCTCCCGCTCTCATGCTGGCTGCTCCACATCTGGTAGTGGTTTGCAGCAGTGATGTATCCCGGACAGAGAAACCCGATCCCCCCCCAGGCTGAGGCCTAATCCCAGCCCAGGAGTCTGTGTGACTGACAGAGGCTGTGTTTTCTCAAGCCGACCTCTGGAGCTGTTCTGTTTCCTTTATCCTGTCACTGGTCAGAAACTCAACCCCCACCGACCCGCCTTGGCCCACCAAACCCCCTCCTCCACCGGCTCGCCATGTAAGCGCTCTCTTCATTCGCCCTTTTCCTCTATCCAGGCCCCTTCTGAAACAGACACTTTCTAAATAAAGACTGTTGGAGCAAATGGCTATAATCACGAGGGTAACATCCCCATACCATGATATATATTCAATTACCATAGCAGCATAACTATCTGATACCATCATTGTACTATGGTACTGTGAGAGTACTATTTTGTTATTAGTTTAATTTTGGTTCCACAGGTGTCTTTTACTACTATTAACATTTAAATAAACAATGTAATGCAATGCACTTATTGCATACATGCCTGTTTTTACATTGTATACCTATAATATTATAATTGCCTGTCTGTAATTACATCCAAAACTACAGTTGACCCTTCACTTACCTTTTAACCCATTCTTAAATTTACTCATGGCACAAAACCTGTCCCTGATCTTACCTGTATCCCACCTCAATAGCAGCAAAAGTGTCTTGCAATACAACATGAACACATTGCACTTATTTTTTATGTAAGTACATAATAGTTAAAAACATCTTATATAAAGTGTGACCTTCATTGTTTTTTTAGTTCTAGTAAATCCCCAACTGATATATTTCAGTCAAAAGCTAAATTTTAGTAGCCTGGCATGCCAGACCTACAGTACATCAAGAAGTTAGGTCTGGGAACTCATAATTGACAGGGCTCCATCGGAGGGGTGGGATAAACGGTTGTCTTTCAGATTCTCTCCTTGTAACTGGATAGCGCTACAACCAATTAAAGCAACGAAGAAAGAACAACGTTTTCCCACCAGCGGAGCAAGTTGATATATTAAACTTTTAACGTATACAGTCGGCAAAACTCCGAACACATCTTGAAAAACAAAAAACAAATAAATGACTCAGGTGCCGTTATTTGTTCTGGTTTCAAAGAAAAGCTTAAGTTTAAATCATCCAGAGTAGCGGTCAAAGACAAATCGAAAGACAGCTGTTCGCCAACAACAGCCATTCTTTGTTTTCAAGTAAGTTAGCAGTGAACTGTCGCAACTCGGTCGTCATTATGTTGAGCCTGCCCGCCGACTCTATACACGATGTGATTGGCCTGACCAGAGTTTGGTTTTTCCAGCTTAAACGTCTATGGAGAGTTGCAAGACCACACTGGCTGCGAAATAATTTTTGCTGCCGCTAGGGTGCGTCTAGATTTCTAGGCTAAAATTTTAGCTATAAAACAACCAGATGTGTGTTACAGCAAGCTATTCATCCATTAGCATTAGTGCTGCAGACAGCTCTTTACGTTAACCTAAAACCGAATGCCAATACATGTGTCCTTGTGCTTATTCTGGGATGTTTTATGCTTGTCTGTCTGGACATTGACAATGTGCTAACAAGTTGGTTGCTGAAAATAGTAGAGAGTGTTCAGAGGTGCCACATAGCATTCTGGGGTGTCTGGAATGCTGGAGACGGCTGGTGTTCATTTCAGATGGACCCGCCACCAGCAGAAGGGAAGGGAATGGGAATGCTCCCCTGCTTTGTGAAGCTTATTAATTAAGTTTATATTTTCAGTACCATTTGTAGAAACATTATTTATTTTAACCCAAGGCTGATATTGCAAATAACATTCTATTAATATAGTAAAAACATTGTAGTCCCTTTAGACTTCCGCTGACTGGGATTTCTAAAGAACATTTTGTGCAGGTTTTTTTACATGACTGTCTTTTGTAAAAAAAAAAAAAAAAAGAGAGAGAGAGATCAAATAATGAGCTACATTAACCCACACATAGTAGACATTCTAATATTTAATAACGGATAAGTGTGACCAGTTTAAAGTCGGCATGAAATGGAAATCATTTGAGTGACAGGTTGATCCCACCCTCTTACCAGTAAACACACATCGGAAAAGAGATGTCACTGTGAGAGGGGAAGTTATTTTTTGATTAAAGATTACAAGGACACATGAATTTGAATAAATAAATAATGATGCGCACGGATAAGTCATTTATAATAAATACTGCAATATTCAATAAAAAATAAGAACTTACGATTGACATATACAAAATTCTGTTATGAAACGCTAGATAGCACAAACTTATTGGTCCTTATTTGTTAGCAATCACATCGTTATCTACATAACACGGATTGGTTGCTGTGACAATAGCCACCAATGAGCTTGCTGCTCAACATTAAAATACTTAGTTAGCCAGTCTACAGCGCTCTTCAGAAACCCGCCACCTTCCCCAGCTCCACCTGTATAGATGCTATGAGGGTTATTTCATGTATGTTATATGTGCAGCAGCAGCATATCTTACATGCTCAAAACCGCAATGTCTGTGAATGTATTGGCAGGAGTGTAAGTCTGTGTACTTGCTCTGCAGCAGCAGCAATAATCAGATGCAGCAGCAGTGTAGCACATCTATCACGCCAAGACCAAATACATTAAATTTGCCATATCAATTACCATGCCAATCTCTCAGAGAGTTGTTATGACAGACATAATGTTTTACGTAAATGTCAAAAGTCCAAATCCAGTTAAAACAAATCTAGTGACCGGTGAGACAGTTATCAAGAAAAAAAGAGGACAAGAAAGCAAGCAGAAGAGCATTCATGTTGCTTTTTGGCAGGAACTGTGTCATGCAGGATGAATAATTGCAGTGGCCGGGTGGGTAAGATCAGAGGGCGAGGAAGGTGAGTAGGGTGTGGAGAGACAGAGCAGAGGTCCCACTCACAGCGCACAGCAAGAATGTGGAACCAAATGCAGCCGTTCTCTCCTGAGAATGGGGTCGCTGCTGCATTCACACTGCCTTACAGGCGAACATGTGAGGCTCTCTCCATCCCCCTTCAGTTAAACTCGCTCCCTCGTACTGTCTATCTCCTCCACACACCCGTTTCTTTGCCTCATTGACATCAAAGCAGCGCTGGAACCCATTAAAGCAGACAGACTTGGTGAAAAATAAACCATCAGTGACCGGTGCAGGGGTGCAAAATAACTGGCCGCTCTGTGTCCTGACTATAGGCAAAGAAAACACTGCAGATCCTACAGCAGGACACTGAACATGCTCGCTGTCTCATGGTTTAATGCAGAAGACAGAAATCTGGCATTCAAAAGTTTGTGTGAGAATAAAAATACACCGAACAAGTAGCAAACTGAGAAGCTGCGGTTGCTATTCTACAATCTAAATCAAACCACAGAGTAACTTTAGAACTATTTTCTCAGACAAAAAGATTTGACTGAGAAATGACTAGACATATAAACATGCTATTATAAATACATTTAGCATGGCAAGCTGAACTGCTGTCATGTGCTGTTGAGGTTTTTGTGAGCGATCATGTTTGGGACAGGCCTAAGTTAGTTGTGCCCCCTGGTGGAATGCAGCACTTTTCCATGAGGTTCATCCGCGTGATTAGACGACGCAAGCATATTGAACTTTAGTATTACGACAATTACGGCATTCATGTCATGTCAGAATGATTGTATTTATAAGCTGAGCACTACCATGAAGTCATAATTACCAGTGGGAGATTTACCAGACCTGCTTTCCAAGGTGTGTGTGTGTGTGTGTGTGTGTAAGATTTGTGGCAGAAGAAAACTGGTATGGATCATAACAAGATTGTGAATGTTGATGGTTCAATTTATTTTGCCATCTTGTTTATAGTTGATTGAGATTAATAGTTGGTTTATTTCAACTGATACGATAAAGACAAATTACAGACAAAGTATCAGTTAAGGATAAGTTCACTTAAAACTTTTAATTAATAAGATAATAATTCGCTGATAATAATTTACTCACTCCCATGTCATTCAAGATATCTTTCTTTCTTCAGTTGAATAGAAATTAAGGGTTTTTGGTAAAAACATTAAAGGAGTTTTCTCTATATAATGGACATAAATGGACCCCATTCGTTTAAAAAAAAGTTTTGCTGATAATTTACTCACCCCCATGTCATTCAAGATGTCCACGTCTTTCTTTCTTCAGTTGAAAAGAAATTAAGGTTTTTAATGAAAACATATTCCAGGATTTACTCCATATAATGGACTTCATTGGTAACCAAATGGTTCAAGGTCCAAATGAGAGTTTCAGTGCAGCTCCAAAGGGCTTTAAAAATATTCATTCAATTTGATGAACGAGTTTCAACAAGAGAGTCACGAACGCTCATCACAGAACAGAGCAAGGTGAACATTTGTCCTTATAAAACGTAAACTTTTTATTTATTTTTGAAATGACCGATCGTTTAGCTACAAGACCCTTATTCATTGTCTGGTATCGTTTAAAGCCCTTTGAAGCTGCACTGAAACACTAATTTGGACCTTGAACCGTTTGGTTCCCAATGAAGTCCATTATAAGGAGAAAATCCTGGAGTGTTTTCATCAAAAACCTTAATTTCTTTTCCACTGAAGAAAGAAAGACATGGACATCTTGGATTACTCGGGGATGAGTAAATTATTAGCAAAAGTTTTTACTACTCCTTTAACATTTTTGTAGAAAACATGATGTTTTTCCACATTCTTTGATGAACAGAAAGTTCAAAATAACAACATTTATTTGAAATAGAAATAGTTTGAAAAATGATGAATCTTTACATAGACTAATGCATCAATTCTGACTGAATAAATGTATAATTTTTTTGGTCACACTGTAGATTAGGATCCAATTTTCACTATTAACTGTGACTTTCGCTTCAATAAACTCCTAACTGCTTATTATCAGTAAGGTAGTTGTTAAGTTTAGTTATTGGGTAGTATTACAGGATGGAGAATATCTTGCAAGGAATTATATGCATGTTATAAGTATAATAAACAGCAAATATCCTAGTAATATCCAAGCTAATAAGCAACTAGTTAATAGTGAGAATTGGACCCTAAACTAAAGTGTTCCTTGAAACTCCTTTAAAAAGTCATGCAGAAACATACTATTTCTGTTTGCAGAGGAAGTCACCACTAGTACATCTGAAGAAACTACTTCTAACATGGAACAGCTTGACTCTAGTCATAAGGTATGACCTCAAGCAAACCTTTCCATCCTGCCTGGATCACAAAGCATCTCAGCATATCTGCTGAGAGTCAGAGAGACACATTTATAATCTAGTATGAAATATTTCACAGCGAGAGAGAATGAATTAACCATGAACTACAGTTCAGTGCACTCCACCTCAATATAGCAAAGTCAGATTAATCTCTTTGAATCAAAGCCAGTTCTGTTCCCAAATTAATTACATTTCCATTACGCAGACAAAGTCAGCATGCTTTTCTTCTGAATTATTATTTTTTTTTATTATACTTCAGTGTGGAGCACAGCACAGCATGTGTTGACCAGTAGTTGTTATTAAATCAAGCAACATGTATGGTGCAATCTATTGTTACATTGATCTTTTAATTCAAGGACATTGCTAAGTGCTTTTTTGGCACCAGAGAAGTTTTTCATCCTATGTGATCCTTGACGTTGTGCAGAGCAATGGCAAAAACACAAGAACTTTGCACTGTAAAAGAATCAGACATTTTCTTTAGGTTTTCAAAACTTCTTTGGGCAGAAAGCCTTGCTGATCAATGAGTCCTCCTGAATTGTTCAGGGTAAATGTTTTTGTAAAAATGTACACCATATTTGTGTGGTGTTTTTATTTTAATAGGCTTTTAAGGACAGTCAGAGACTTGCAAAGAAAACGAATGCTAAGAAGCAGCAGCAGCATATTTTAGGTTCCTACAATAAAACATTCCAGAAGACACAGGTGAGTCTTTTTACACATGTATACAGCTGAATATTAAATCAACGTTGACTTCCGGGGAATTGTAGGATCATGATTTATGAAAAATCACAAAAAAGGTGAGACTTTCTGTAGGTTTTTAAGGTTCAAACATGCGCAGAGACTAATGCAGAGGAGGAAGAGGACGAGGAGGAACAGGAAGAAGAAGAAAACGAAGAAGAAGAAGAAGAAGAAGAAGAAGAAGAGGTGTATGAGAATGAGGATTGTTTAGGCTCTGACAATAAAGTTAATAATGGACAGGTAAGTCCTTCCGAATCTCTATGACTTTCTCTATGACTTCTTTATATTGCTGTTTGAGCATGAAAAAAGTCAAAAGCTCTGGAGGGAGATATTCTCTAGATCAATGCATACTGTGTCTGAACTCCCTGAAATGCCTCCATTGTAGTCTTGAGTTTTCTTCCAGGAATAGACACATCAGAGTATTCTTCATTTTTAAAATCCCTGACCAAGGCAAATGCACAATAAAGGGGACGAGGCTTGGTTGAGTTGCGCTAGGACTCGCGTTGTGTTGAAAGTAACTCGTGATTATGGTTAGGGCCATGACATTTCTGAATGCGGTCACACTCAATGCGGTTGACCAATCACAACACACTTGTCCAGCCAACCAATCAGAGCACATTGTGCTTTTTGGAGAAAACGGAACATTACAGACAGACTGGAAAGCGAGGGGCTGCAATGAATGAAAACAGGAACCACTGCTATCACACATGTGAATGTTTCTGTAGGGGTTTAGGAGGAAAGGGCACACACGACAGAATAATGCAGAAGATGATCGGGATGATGTAGACTGTCAAATAACTCAAGAACAGGTGAGTCTTCTTCTTTTAGCAAACTATGGGATTTGTTCAACGCGTTCTCATCCTAGGGCGTCATGACGCCTTGGGATGAGAACGGGCTGGATTTGTTACAACCAAGTAATAGTTCACATAAAGTTTCAAACTGGTTTCATGGAAATCACAATAAAATATGAGAGATATTGTTTTCTGAAGGTGTTTAAGGGCAGATCACGTGCAAAGCAGAGTACGGCCAGGAGCAAGGAGAATTATTTAGATGCTGCCAGTGAACTAATCCAGGAGGCAGAGGTGAGTCTTCCTCTTTCACCTGTTCTGTTTAGAACGCCTTTTTACCTTTGACGTCTGCAACTAGAAAGTTACATCTGTGAAGTCTAAAACCAACTTTAGAGTTTACCTAAAAGCTACAGAATTAAGTTGAAATGAACTCAAAATAGGCCTAAGTAAAGTGCTGTTTTTTTTTTTTGTAGGTGTTTAAGGTCAGATCACGTGCAAAGCAGAGTAATGCTACAAGGAAGGAGGATTGTTTAGACGCTCCCAAAGAAATAATTCAGGAGGAAAAAGTGAGTCTTCCACCTGTTCTAGTTTAGCATGGTATTAGACGCATTCAATCTCTGCAGCCTTAATAATCTGTGAAGCCTAAACTATCTGCAGACCAGAGGACCTAAGAGTTAACTCAAAATATCTGAGATGATGTTTTCTGTTGATGTTTAAGGTCAGATCCCGTGCAAAGCAGCGAAATGCCAAGAGAAAGGATCGTTTAGATGCCGACAGTGAAATAATCCAGGAGACACAGGTTAATCTTCCATTTTTACCTTTGTTTTATCATTTGGAACACTGTTTTAAAACTGATTAACTGTTAACTGTTAGGATAACTGATTTAATTCAAGAAATCTTAATTTATTTGATCAAAAACACAGTAATGAAAAGTAATATTGTGATTTATATTATTACAACTTAAACAAAATTTTCTATTTGAGTATATTTTGAAATGTAATTTATTCCTGTGAATCTGAATTTTCAGCATCATAACTCCAGTCTTCAGTGTCACATGATCCTTCAGAAATAATACAATGATTTGCTGCTCAAGAAACATATCTTATTATCAATAATGAAAACAGTTGTGATGCTTCATATTTTTTGTAAAACAGCGATAACTTTTTTTCAGGATCCTTCGATGATCAATCTTATTTTAACATTATAAATGTCTTAAGTGTCACTTTTGATCCATTTAAAGCTTCACCGTAGCTTTTTTTGGTTTAAAAATTATCCAAAATAAATGTGAGCAAATACATAACCAGCCAATGTTCGATTGAAAACGGTAAGCTTGTAATAATGTTTTTAATCCCATTATGGCACTGGTGGATTTCCGCGGGAGATTCGAGCATTTCTTTGTGTCATTACGTCACATCTGTACACATAAAGGAGGAGTCTCGGCTAGTCGGCTATATTGATTGTGAGGATGTTGGAGGTGGAGATTTGTAGTCTTTTCTCACTGCACTTGATATAATCGTATTCATTTCATGGTGGATCCAGAAAGGTTCAAACGACAATCACCAGCAACAACAGATTCATCAACAGTAAAATGCTAAATACTTTGGAAAGGCAACAGAAAAAAAGAGACAGCAACCAGCCCATGCGAAAACAAGGATACTATCTGAAGGGCAATAAATGTAGTCACGCAATGCTGATGTTGGACATTAACATTTGAGAACAAAGTATAATATTTGCTCGGTTTTACGTGATATGATAAGCGATTGTAAGATTTAATGATTTTTTCCCCTTAGTTGGTCAGAACCAGAACAAAAGTGGATGTTACTTGTTTAGATAACATTTTCCGGTGAATGTTGGTCATACTTCCAAAAAGAATAATCTGTGATTCTGAATGACAATATCCAAACCGGCACGGTGACTGACAGCCACACAATCTCCTCCACGAGGCACAACTCACGTAACGTTAATGATTCCGCGAATAACTGCAATTGCAGATTTCAAACAGAGATGGCGACAAAGAGGAAAAACTGCGGACTGCAGCTTTAATTGATCCTTGCTGAATATAAGAATTAATGTCACACTTTAGATAGTTGTAACTATTAACTGTGACTTTTACCTCAATTAACTCCTAATTATTGCTTATTAATAGTTAGTAAGGTAGTTGTTAAATTTAGCTGTTGGGTGAAATGTATAATATGCTCATGCAGAATAAGGCATTAATATGTGCTAATAAACAGCCAAAATCTTAGTAATATGCCAGCCAACAACAAACTAGTTAATAGTGAGAATTGGACCCTAAACTTAAGTGTTACCGAATTAATTTATTTAAAAAATATATATATATATATTTTACAAACTGTATGTTAGAGCGATAATGTTTTCTGTAGGTAATCAAGGTCAAATCACATGCAAAGCAGACTAACTCCAAGAGGATGGAGGATTGTTTCAGCTCTGACGGTGAAACAATTCAGGATGCACAGGTAATTCTTCCACCTGTATAACATGTAGCATGCAATTATAAGTTATCCATTAACACCTAGTTTAATCTGACCGAGTCTTATCCCGTCTCTCTCAAGGTCTATTTACCTGAGGAGAGATTAGAGGAAATGAGCAGCTCCACAAATCAGCAGTTCAACAAAAACGGTAACCTGAGTTACAGCTCAACACAGAAACATAAAGAGCAATGGTGCTGATCTGGTATCTAAGCTCTGCCCTATACTATATTCCACAGTCTGAGCAGACTCTGTTTACCATATAAAAGAATAGAGCAAGAACCATTCTTGCATTTACTTCCTTAAAATCCATTAAGTGTTTAACCTAAACTTCTCTGTATATTCACAAAAACTATGCCTACAGGAGAAGAGGCCACTGGGGTCCCAAAAAAACGAAAAGGAAAGACAACTTTACAGCCGGAAACAGGGGTGACACAGGGGTCAAGGAAGACCAAAGGTGCTGCGCCTGCTATCATCCCAAAATCAACACATTTCACTCCCAGATCACATTCACCGAAGTCTCTGTCTCCTGAAGGACAGACAGAAATCCAGACAGGATTAGCAATGGAAGCAGAGTGAGTCTCAGTCCCATGTCATGTTGTGCTCTTGTGTTTGTATTTATAAATTCTGAACTAATGTGCAACACCGGTAAGCATGATTGCCATGCTTGTGTATTTGAATTCGGAAAGCCAAATGACAATAAATTCCCTGAATAATGTTCCCAGTGTGCAAATGTAACTCATCTATCCAAATAAATGATACATACGGGACTAAATTGTTATAAATGTTTATATTATTTTGCTAAATTATGACCCGGTCAGAGTGAAACGGTAACAAAATACTGTTTTGGTTTAGTGGCAGTTAAAGTTTATAATTATAGTTTATCAGAGAGGGTTAGAGGGTTATATAATAATAAATACAACCCAGAGCTTTATCTAATGAATGGACAATCAATCCCCTAAATGTCCTTTTAATTTCCCTGATCTCCTCCCTCTCGCTTTTTCGCCGCTTCATCAGTTTTTACCTCTTCAATCATCAGCTTGCATTCCCGCCATGTTTTGGGCATACACAAAGCAGGTTGTGACTTCGAGTCAGAGGTCAGACAGAGGTCAAACAGCCTGGCTCCAAGGTTTTGGGGACTCATTAATATCCTGTCTAATCACTGTTTGCATTCCTCTCTCGTCACTCCATCCGTCCCAGTCTCCGGCGCTCTTTGATTGCAGCTCAGATTTCATCCCGAACCCTTCTCAGGCCCTGTGAGCGGTGAGAAAGCCGAGAGGAGATTAGGGTATCGCTTCACATCTGAGCTCTTATCAGTAAATCTCTCTCACTCCCTACCTTACTCCATCTGGGCTATATCTTAACCCCAACACCAGACTTCCGACACTGTGCTCCAGTTGATTCCCATTAATATTTGATATCCTTTGTTGTTATTTTTGACAGCATGGGTCATTTAAAGAACGCAGGTGGAAGAGAAGACTCACAACACACCCTGGAAAAAGTTAAGAAAAATAAAAAGCTTGATAAGCCAACAGTCAAATCAAAGAGTAAGACCGTTCAAAATCATAAAGACATTGAGACCCACAATACCAGCATCCCTGACGATCCCACTTCTACCTCAAAGAAAGTGAGTAACATACCAGTCCATACGTTCTCATTTATTTTATACACATTATAAATTATATCTGCATATCTCTCAATCTGCAGAAGAAAAAGAAAAAAGAAAAACAGAATATAGAAGAGGTTGAGGAAGAAAAGGAAAAGCCTGACAAAGCCCAGAACTCAATAGTTAAAGTTAAAAAGAAGAACAAAAAGGATCAACCAGCATTTGTTGTTGGTGAGTTTATGTTGAAATAAGGCTGGCAGCATTTAAAGACTTAATGATGTTTTGCAGTTACTGTTATATGTACAGTATAATTCTAACGTTTGGGGTAAGTACTTTTTTTTTCTCCAAATAAACGAATAATTGATTCAGCAAGCATGAGTTAAATTGGTCAAAATTTTTTATCATGTTATAAAATCGTCCCCTTGGAATTATAAGGTTCTATCTGACATTTTTGTCAAAATTGAGTCATTCACATATTCTTATTCTGTGACAATTTATTTACATTATGTGATGTGTTTTGTACATTTAGGGTCCCTGTTATTTTTATGTTTGAAAGAAACTTGTTCCCCATACACATTTTCCTAAATGGAATGCAAAAACTTTGAAGCTCAATATCTCAAAACTGTTCAAAACGCATATAGAACCTTATAATTCCAAGGGGACGAAATGTATAAAAATCTATTTCAAATAAATGTTGTTCTTTTGAACTTTCCATCCATCAAAGATGAAAAATATTAAGCCGCACACCTGTTTTCAACATTGATAATAATAAATATTAGAGCACTGAATCAGCATATTAGAATGATTTCTGAAGGATCATGTGACACTCACTGAAGACTAGTATGTTATAATATAATATAATATAATATGAGTAATGATGCTGAAAATTCAGCCTTACTGTCACAAACATATATATTTAATTATATATTAAAGGGATACTCCACTTTTTTTTTGGAAATAGACTTATTTTCAGACAGAAAATGTAAAGTTGCAATTTTCTTGGCTCATATGGCTAGGAACTATACTCTCATTCCTGCATATTAATCAAGAAACTTCACTGCCATACCATAATAGCAGACGTAATGACCACACAAACTTAGTCCCGGTCACTTTGGAAGCTGGGCACTATTTTCAGGTGCTGCTTCATATTATTACGCCTGCTGCACTCATGGTACAGCAGTAAAGTTTCTTGATTATTACACAGGAATGAGACATGAGAGTATAGTTCCTAACCATATCAGCCTAGAAAATCGCAACTTTACATTTTCCGTCGGTCTTAGTGCACAATGTAACAACAGATAACTCAAGTTTTAAATAGGAAAAATATCGAAACACTTTGGTAATTTTTTTTCAAACTTTAATTCAAACTTAATTCAAACTTTTGAAAATTATATATTTATAGTATGTTTATTAGAGGCAACTCATTAGGACAGCAATGAAACAGAAAGCATTCCATAAACAGAAAAAAATTAAGAACGGGAAAGAAAATATATTTTCAATGCATTTGTTTTAGGAAAACCTCGGCCACAGGAAGCGGAGTGGATGAAAAATTCAGTGGATGAGCCTGAGAGACAGATGACCCTTCAGAGAGAGGTGACAACTCACGACACAGCGGATGACCAACAACAAAACACTGAGAACACAGAAGAACAAACCTATGTTGACTCTAGAGACGACATGGATGCTGACACAGACTCAGACACAGAGAGTACAGACACACATGAAGCACATGAAGACTCTCCCAGGTCAGTTTACAGCACTAAAAGATCGCAGAACTCACGTATTACAGCACGTTCAGATGCCAGCATTCACAGACTCTCACAGAACTCCACCGGAACCAGCTCAAGGGGGGTGGCAGCCCACTGCGGCCCGTGCAGCCCAGCACCCCTGTCCCTCATCCACATGCCTCCTCAGTCAGTACACCCTCATTCCTCAGACCCCGCCAAATCTGAGACAGGCAATGATGTAAGTACTTCTCATTCAATAGACATTTGTTTGAATCTACACCAGGGGTAGCCAACCCTGCTCCTTCCTGCGGACTTCAGTTCCAACCCTGCTAATCCTAAGCACCTTAATTAGGTGGTTCAGGTGTGTCTGATTACAGTTGGAGATTAACTCTGCAGCATGGTAGCCCTCCAGGATTGGCTAGCCTTGATATGCATGTGCTGTGTTCAAAATTGCCTTCACTATTCCCTACATTACTCCACTAATATAATCCACTTGAAGGAATTCGGACACAGAGTGCGCCGGAAGGGCTACCGATTTTGTATAGTTTGTGATTGCTGTTTAATAATAATCATTTGAAATGTAACAAACTGGACCCTGGATCCAGTAGTAATGAAAATATGTATCTTGAACTCTGAAATGGAAACTAGCATAAACCTTAATGAAACAATTTAATAACAAATTAAAAATGAATTTAAACCTGTATTATATTACGCTGGACCAGTATGGTTTGGAAAATGGATGGATGATTTGATTCAGTTGCAGGCGCCTGGAATCCAGCTCTCGACTCTCAGTGCATTGTGGGTATTCTCTAGCTGTTGAGCGTACAACGGTTATACATTCGTCATTGCGGTGCATTTTGGGATTGAATGAGTGCACTCAATAACGTCTGGACATCATTAAACACGGCCAAACGGTCAAATAGTGCCCAATTTAAGGGCATGGGGCAATTTCGGACACAGCCACCGTTTATATCAGACTGTCAGTGCATTAGTGGTGAGGATTTTGTGAATGCCCGCAGTTACAGTAGGTGGTGACAAGTGTTTATAAATAAGTCAACAAGTCTTTAATTCACCCATTTTTTTCAATCATGCTGATTCATTCAGAAATGAATAGTCATTGAAACGTTCACTTAACCGTAAGATTCATCCAGAAACAAAACACCACTGTTTGTTGCAGTGTTGCAACTGCTTGTACTTCATTTGGAACTGTTTTTGTTGATAAAGCAAACATACATAATATGAGTTAAAAGTAATTGGAAATGTGTCTTTAATGTGTCGAAATTTACTCAATATAGAGTGCCTTAGTGCCTGCCCACTTTTTTAACTTTGGTTTGGTTCTGGAATTACTTTTCCCATAACTTTTCCTATCTTTTGCATAGCCTCATGGGAGTGGATGGTTGCTAAAGAGGGTTTCTTTTGTTTTTATTTTTTACATGATTTGCTTGTACTATTTGCTTTCTCTGATTAGAGGAGATTTCTCTGCAGAATCATGGGTAATGTAGTTTTCCACAAGAAATTCTGCTGGGGTTTTTTTCCGCTGAACAATCGAATAAGAAATATCCCATTTGCAGTTGCGCTGTTCATCTGAATATCAGCACTATTCATCTGAATATTGTTTGTGTGGGATGTTGCTTAAGTATACGTTCATTTTCATTGGCTTCACTATTAGGTTAAAAGCAGTGAGGTGCCAACTAACCAAACAGACAAAAAAGCTGCAGCGCTGGCTGAAAAGGCAGAGCGTCGTCGTCTTGAGGTGGAGAAGAAACGGAGGGAGAGAGAGGAGGAAAAGAAGAGACAGCAAGAAAAAGAAGCGGCAGAAGAAAGGATGAAGCTGGAACTGGAAGAAGAACAGAGGATGAGAGCAGAGGAAGCACGGTACAACGTGTTACTGCTTTTTGGAAACAAATAACAAAATACAATATACCGCAAACACTGGCGAGAAACTAACATTGGGATATATGCAGGTTACGGAAGATTAGAGAAGAAGATGAGAGTCGAAGAAGGCAAGAGGAGGAGATGGAGAGACAGAGGAGAGAGCAGGCAGAGAAGGACAGAGAAAGAAGACAACATGAGGAGAAGAAGAGGCTCCTGGAACGGCTCCAGAGAGAAAGACAGGAAAAGGAGAAACGCCAGGCTGGTAAATATCATGTAGTAATGATTTATAATTGGATGGGGCCCTTTACACGTGGTAATTATTCCATAATATCGCTTGGAGTGAAATCTTGTAGTGTGTGACCCTATATTTGTTTCATTAAACTTACCCACATTCTAGAATGTAATGTTTTTTGTTTAAAAGCAGAAGTTCTGTTCTTTATTTTGATATGTTTAGATATATAACAAAATATTCATTATCCTTTTCCGAGTCTCTTCCGACCTTGTTTTCTTTGCTTTTCCCATCGTCGAGTATCACGTCTGAAATGCGTGTTAGTGTTTTAGTGCTTCATGTTGTTGTTGATGTGTGACAGTGTTGCTGTAAAGCATGTCGTGTTTTTCGCGAGATTTGTCGGGGGTGCTCCCATAGATATCCAGATAAAGGCTAGATATCGGCCATCTTGTCACAGGCAGCTCGCTCACTCGTACCATTGTTTTAATGGTGCATGTACTTTTTAAATCACCACAACTTGCTTAATTTTCTACCGATTTTCAAGCAGTCGGTTTTGTTGTAAACGTCATAGACGTAGTGATGACACTGCATACTTATGAATAATAACCCAGACAGCAAACTGACATTGAATCAACGTTGAACCAACGTCAGACTTCAAAGCTAAATGAAAATCGAAAATTGGTTTGCTTTCATAACGTTGAAACAACGCGTTGATTTCAAGTTGATTTTCCGTTAGTTTTGAAAGAATGACGCGTCTGACGTTGGTTCAACGTTAATTCGATGAGCAAAACAATGTCAGATCAACGTTGTTTCAATGTCATATTTCCACGTTGATTCAATGTCAGTTTGCTATCTGGGAAGTGTACAAATAAATAATCATCCAGAATTATAGGCACATTGATAACGTTTGTAAGAAACCAAACCGTTTGTAAATCCGTCAAGATTTCAACGAGATAATAGTATTTGTGTTCGTGCTGATCACTCACCTTACATCAGATACTACAGAGCCCGCCAGAGAGCCTGCCTGTGACAAGATGGCCGCCGGTGATGACGATAAAGACTCCGCCATGAGACATACAGCCTTTATATGGATATTGCATGTCTGATTTTTCCATGGCTGAAGCTTTACTACCAGGATGATTCGCCCTACTTACACCTAAATGACTTTGTTTACCACCTAAATGACTTTGAAGCTTTACATAGTAAGGTAATATTCTTGTACGGTGTGCCTGGAAGAGGGTGCTCTCGGGAGCTATACATGACAAACCTGCAGACTGTTACACAACAGGCTACGACTTTACGCAGCATTACGTCACCTAAGTGTGCAGAAACACATCACTGATTATGCGTCCTACTACATTAAAATGTAAATATCCTGCAAACATAATGCTTTATGAATAAGTAAACAAATGAATGAATGACTTTCCTCATTCTCAGCTGAACTGGAACGCCAGCGTTTGGAAGAGGAAGCTCGTAAGGAGGAGGAGCGCAGGAAGCTGTCAGAGATGGATGATGCTGAGAGACTGGAGTACCTGCGAAAACAGCAGGAGGAAGAGGAGGAGAGAAGGAAAGCTGCTGAGGAGAAGAGGAGAAAGGAGGAGGAAGCAGCGATGCACGCTGAACAGGAGGCCAGACTGCACGCTGAGCTGTTTGCCAGGTATGTCACGCTACAACAAACGCGTTCATTCAACAATGTTTCATCAACTAGGTTCCTTCATGTGAGAACATTAACGCTATATGTAACTTTTGGCTCCTAGAGGTGTGGTTATATGCGGAGGAACATGTTGGTAATTATGTGAGTTGTGCTTCGGCTCTGCTATGTGAATAAGTCTGATGCCTTAAAGGTAACTTAGGTTAGGCATTTTTGGAGAGGCTAGCAATAGCAAGCTAGCTTTGAAAGCATACAATCCCACTCTCCCTTCAGAGGGTCTCCAAAGCCACGCCACCTCCAAAACACACGAACGTGTATAGCACTAGTCTACAAAGCATCACAAGACATTTTTTGGTCCTGAGACTTCCACAGAAGATATACATATGGACATGTTGTAATATTTAGACCAATTCTGTTAGATTGCTATCAGCATGTAAAGAGTTTCAACCAATATAACAAAAAGTGTTTATAAAAAAAGCTTATACCCTAAGCTTTAAGTTGAGACACATGATTAGATACGATTACAGAAAAAAAATCAGGCCTTCAGGGTTTGACGATAAGATAATCAAAAAAAAAAAAATTGATACAGATCAGCTTTATTAACATGCATTAAAATGGTCAGCATATACTGCATTGGTTAAAAATCTCCTTACATTTTCCTATATAATATTGCAGTAAAATGCTATTTTTCATACTGTGCAGGAGCTCTTTGTGAAGTAAAGTGTATTTCTCTGTACGACAGGCAGAGGGCAGCACTGGAGCAGCACTTAAAGTTTCACAGGGGTCTTTTTGTGGAGGCAGAAGGGCTGGAGCAGACGCAGGATATTTCCCGTCCCTGGCTTTTCTCCTATTTTAGCCTGTTGAAGCTGCTTGGCTTGGCTGAGCCCACATCTGAGGACACACTCAACGATGTGCAATGATTCCTTCTTTTGACCCTCACCACACCAGCGCTTACAGCTTGTATTTCAGTTCTGTGAACAATCTGCCACATGTGGAAATCTGCTCACATCATTTCAGATGTCATATGACTCATATCAGCACTTTTGAATTGCGCCTGCTCAAATTGGATTTTTCTTCCTTTCTGACTGAATATTTAAGTCCTAGCCCAATGCATACCCCTAAACCCAACCCTTCCCATAATTATCCCTAAAATCAAGGTGAATACTATGTAGAAGCACCTAGCGCTGGTTGTAAGCCTAAACTTGACAGAAAATGAACTTGAACAAACTTGACTGATTGATGGGAATGTTGTTCCAGAATTAACACAGGTGTTGATCCAGGAAAATGTTGCACCTGGTGAAATCACTCATAGAAGTTGAGAGAACCACTGGCATTGAGTGAGCAGCGCCCTCTACTGTTTGTCTTTTTAATTTGTTCAGGTATATTCTCATATGTCATTCACATTTGGCAATTGACACTATAGTAGAATAAAAGTATACCTGTTGTTGTTTTGTGTGAAAAGACGAAAGCAACAGAAGACATTTAGCTTTAAATATTTCATTTTGATCACATTCATACTTTTGATAAATTGTTTTTTTCTCCGGTCACCACTGTAATAAATTAAAATAGCAATAATTGGAAATGGAAACAGATAATAATACAAATCAATATCACATGAGTCAATAAACAATGAATCAGTCCTCCATTGGTCAAAGAGCTCAATCGTCAAACGCTGTTCAGTCACAGTCACAGACATGGACATTTGTTTTCTTTTCTCGTTGTTGTATTTCTGACTTCCGACACATTCATAGATTTCCCACTCTCTTATTTAACTGAAGTGTCGTCTGCTGAGGGAGTCAAAGCTGAACAAGGACAAATAACAGGTTTACATGTTATTTTCATGATTCTAATTGGTTAAAGATGGGAACCAATTAAAAACATTTTAGATTTTTTTTTTTATTTCTGTGGTGCCATGCACTTACCTATGCTTGCAGGGTCCACAATCTGGACTGGAATTGCCTGTCCATCCTCCAACAGGATCTGTGTGATGCCCCCTTCAGCTCCGGCATTAGTCACCGAGGTCACACTCACCAGCTGGCTCATGCCGAGCAGGGTCGGGGGGTCACACAGAGATATGCTTTCGCCACCACTGCCACTTGACTGGAGGAACTGGGATGGACTCATCAGAACAGGCTGTGGAGGTGCAGGGCTGGACAGCTCTTGGGCCTCACGTGGGGGTGTAGGTTGGGCTGTGTCTTCAACTGGACACAAGGCAGGCTGTAGCTGGATGGCCTATCAGACAAGATGAGAGCACTCTTAAAGGATAAGTTTGCCAACCAGCTTTGTGCCAGGCAACAGGGAACATTCACAGAAATGAAGCCAGGCAAGTTATGAACAAACATTATTCCATTAATGTTAATATATTATTTGTTCAAAGTTATATGATTTAAATAATGTTCTCAAAACTTTAACACAAAAACAATGTTTTTTTACTGAAATATTTTACTTGGATGTTAATCTAAAATCTTTTTAAACATTACAACTGGTTTCAGAATGTTCAGAGAACATTTAAAACTAACCTTCACATAATATTTACAAAATAATAAAATTAAATGTTCCCTTAAAGGTGCATTGCGCAACATTACTGCGATTGCCTCTAATCCTGTACAGTAAAATAAATAAGAGGGATTCGGGACGGAATTTGAGACTGAGACTGTGCGTGTGGTCCATGAGCGTGCACACCTATGGTTGCAGTTTCGCTTGTCGCCAGAGGGGGCATAGTTCTGCAAAAACTCGGAGACTTGCGCAATGCACTGTTAAAGGTGCCATATGTAATAATTGAGGTAACAATATACGAAAAATGAGCTACACGCATCAAAAGAATGAGAAGAAATAAGTGCAAAGATGTCATTAAAAAACTGACAAGTTATAGTGCTGCCGAGATATTAACCTGAATTAGCATGCTAAATTACTAGCCCCGGCCCGGCAGGTATCGTAATACCAGTTCCGGCCATGGGAGGCGGTATGCGGACGGGCAACGTTAGCACCAGCCAAACTGCAATAGACGAGTGAGTCGCGCTCGCGCCGGCTTGTGTGTACTTGAACCTGATGTCAGTCGTGTGGAAATACAGCCAATTACTACATTTCAGTTCAGGGAAGAGTTCAAAAAATGATTGGTCGACATTATGCATGAGGAATACATTTTGGTAAGTTGTAGCATACTGTATCTTTCACCAGTGTTCGTGTTCTTTTTCCAGCTAGTAGAGACGATCGGTTCACGTGCGCTAGGGATCTGTAGTGTAACATGTACAAGCGCCAAAACGGTATTTATTCTTTGAATTGCGTAATATAATTGACAGAATCTGAGAGCTTAACTAACCTGCTTGCTAAGTGTCAATTGCGTGTGTCTCACGGTGAATTCACGGCGCTAGCTTGATCAACATCAGCGAATGCTGTCTGTCAAATTAATTCACTAACAATAAAAGTGAACAAAACGAATACCATAAACTTCAAATAACTGCCCAAGCTTTTATTTTCCCATACCGTCGAAATGCACCAGCTTGTTTTGAGATCTATGAGGCGGTCTTCATCATATAGTGTTGAGATTCATAGTGTTTAGTTTAGTTCACTCTAGTGTTTATTTCATTGAGTCTCTGATCTCTAAAAATCTCAAAATGTTCCACGTGAAACTGCGGTCTTCCAACCTTTTACTATCATGTCAAATGATTTGAATAACATGCGCGATGGTAGGAGCACAAGTCATTTTTTGGAGGTATACTGCCCCCATCTGTTGGAATATGGAGTAGGATTTGATTTATGATGTTAGATGGCACCTTTAAGGTTTGCATTAACCAACAAAAGTTATTTAAATGTTTAAAAAAAAAAAACTATAGGTTTTGAAAGCTCTGAAATAATGTTTTCATAAGTTAATGGGAACATTAACAAAAAGTTCAAAACACAGATGTATATAAAAAAATACGTAATCAGGTTTTCAAGCATTTGATTTGAATGGGTTTTTTGTTTCTTCAATTATACTATCAGAACAGTTCATCACCCTAAAACTTTTTACATTTATTCAGAAAATAAAAACTTAAAAAAATAATGCATTCATTTAATAAATGAATAAAATCCATTTATATATATATTTAAGATCAATTCAGGACAGGGTCACCTGGAGATGTGCAAAGACCTTGGGCTGCAGTGAGGTGAGAGAACTGAAGAGCTGCACAGCCTCTGGAGAAAGAGTGTCACTCTCTTCCATGAGTTCTTCCTTCTGAGAGGACACTGTCAATATAACAGCAGTATACTAGATTCTGTGGCAGGGTAAACATTGCGTATACTTCGACTAGTTATGTGCTTTCTTTTTGAGGCAGGACCTTTCCTGTACTCTCTAAACTGTATTAAATGATTCCAAGATGTTAAAGGCTGGAATACACTACACAACTTCTGAACAGATTTTTAAGCTCTAGGCATCATACACATGCTGCTGGAAAAACTGGGCATCATACACTACACTAAACGACTAAGGATCACACACTACTAGACTTTCAAGTTGTATCAAACTAAAAAAACCCACATGTTTGATATCCTCCAAATGGATGGAATCACAGACTGAAGCTTAAAAAAATTCATAGTTATGCGCCTATCATATGGTGTGGTCCATTTACCTCAGAAGTCGGATGTGCTGGTAACGACGTCACACTCAAGTTTGAAAGTTGGAAAACCAAGATGGACATGTCAGGAAAACCTTTGTTGTGCTTGCTCTTTTGGAATAGAAAACGGTGCACAGATAATGCTGAAGAATCATGTTCACAAATAGAGGTTGGATAGCACTCTGCCGTGAGTTTATTGAAACGCAGACAAACAAGTGCTAATAAACTATATTTTACAACTATTTCACTTACTGTTGATGCGCTGAGCAGCCATTTTGGATTCGGAAGTCGGTTGTTGTGGTTCCTTTGAGTTGTAACTGCAACTTGAAACGGGGGGACGTTCCAGTTAAAAGTTCCTTCTGGGAACTCTGAAATTTCGACTCTCTAATAGAAATGGACCTCACCAATACACTACTTCTGTGAAATCGGTCAATACGACTGCCCAAAATCTGTTACAACATTCAACAACTGGTGTCTCTCTTTAATTAACCATTTCAGTCATATCCAACTCTTGGTGATTTTATGGCCATCTCTTCCCATACAAAGTAGGTTTCCAGGTCTTTTCCCAACCCCCCACATTACAAGGCTTGGGACTGGCGCATATTCACACCTACGGACAACTTTTAGTGTGTCCAATTCACCTACACTGGGGGAAACTAGAGCACCTGGAAGAAACCCATGCAGACATGTGGAGAACATGCAAACTCCACACAGACAGGACTCCTGGTTCACCCAGGACTCGAACAGGCGATCTACCCACTTAACCACTATGCCAAAAATTCTGTAGTGTATTCCAGCCTCAAGCCATTACAAACTTTGTTTTAATAATGTATGTCGGATTTCAAACAATATTTCAACAGTATTTTACCATCTACAGTAGCAGAAATCAGGGTCAAAGTCTCTGGAATCAGATTATTAGTCTCTGCTTTCCACTGCAACAACAAAAACATAAAAATAAATGCTTACTACAGAAAATGGTTGGCATATTTGTGCTCACCAATCTAATGCTTTACAAATATAATTTCTGTTCACACCTCTGTATCCGAGGTAGCCAGTGTTCCCGCCGTCAGTTGAAGAGCTTTCTGAGCCTCATGGATGTGGTTCTTGATGTCATTGACAGTGGGAAAGTAACACAGGTTGTGTTTCTCGGGCACATCCTCTGACTTGAACATCTCATGTTCCACAAACCTCCTGCCAGGGCGTTCACAAAGCAACAGTAAATAGTTTTCCAGCAAAAAAAAGGAGATTTGAAACCATCTGAGTCATACCTGAGCTGCTTGCGGACAGTGTAAACCTGGTTATGACCTTGTGCCACCAACTCACAGATCTTCTCTGCCACGAGCGGGTGTAGTCGAGAGGGTAGGGACGCCCCATCCTCCATAATGACATCCTGCATGGTTTCACTGTCCAGCTCCTCTGTTTCTTCCTCTTCATCGTCATTTTGTTCTTCCTCTGCAAAGCAGATCTGCTCTGGAAGTGGAGGCAGGTTTGCAGTGTCCACATCATGGTACAGGTGGGCTTTCTCTGTAGGGAGCTGGATGTAATACCTGCCACGAATGCAAATGAATGAAGTGAACCTTGCAGTCATGTGATGGACAGTGATGGCTAGATGTTTATACCTTACAATGCCTCCAACATCCCATAAACTCTTCTTGAGGTTGAAGAAGGCTTTTTCCTGCTCTTGTCGCACTACCTTCTTGTCCACTTTGGGATCTGTTGGAACCTTGTACTCCGGGAATTTTCGTACTTTTTTGATATATATTCTGAAAAATGGTTGAATGTTACAGTGTGGGTTTCATTATGAACTTTCTGTGCACAGAACAAATCTGATGTGCGTGGCCCAACTGTAGGCTGTGTGTACCTGGCAGGGCAGGTTGCTTTGTAGAGGATGTTTTGATTTGTTTCTTGCTCTGACCCTTTTTTAAGTTGAACGCCCTTCCTCCGTGGACCAAACTGGCATTCCATCACACTGGCTCTGCTACCTTAAAACCATATTAAAGATCAAGATGAAATGACTTTGTGTGCATATTGTAAAACCATTACATTATCTGCAACAACAGCATTCAATCAAGGATGAAGAACAAGGCATGTCCCACCTTGACATGCAACATGCTATTGCAAGCATTCTCATTCTGGAAACAATTTGATTGAACAAAATTCTGGACACATTACTATGGAAGCTAGTTTAAGGCATAGAATAAAAAATAAAAAAGGGTAATTGCAACTAGGGTAATTATCTCACAATTCAGACTATTTTTCATGCGATTGCAAGTTTACATCTCGCAATTCTGACTTTTTTCTCAGAATTTTCGCAGTTGTGAAATATAATGTCAGAATTGTAAAACAAAAAAAATGTAAAAAGTCAGACTTTTCTCAGAATTGCAAGTTTCAAGAGTCTGACTTTTTTTCTTGCAATAATTAGTTTATATCTTGCAATTCTGACTTTATTTCTTGTAATTGCAAGTTTATAACTGTGAGATAAAAAGCTGCAAATACCTTTTAAATTGTTTTATTCTATAATGATTTGATCTGTTTCCCCCAGTATAAATTTTACATTCAAAAATGTATTATAATTTATTTTTGATTTTTTTAAGTCTCTTAAGCTCACCAAGTCTGCTTTTTTTAATCAAAAATATAGTAAAAACAGTAACATTGTGAAATATTATTACAATTCAAAATAACTGTCTTCAGTTTAAATATATTTAAACTGAATTCCTGTGAACTCATTCTGTCATCATTCTAATGTTGATTTAGCTGATCAATGTTGCTGCTTAATGAATGCCTTCAGTCATTTTTTATTTATTTAATGCATTCTACTGAATAAAAGTATATATTTATTTCAAAGTACCTCCTAAAGTTTCATTTGCTATTTTTTCAGCCAAAACCACGAACACTCAGATGTCCCCAAAGCTACAAACATCAATTCAAATTTCAATTTTGAATTATAGTCAAAAGTCACAGTTCTGGCATTAAAATAACATATAGACTACATGACTAAACAGCTTTAAGACTTAAATAAGGGTATCTCAGATACACAGATCCCACAAGGAAAAAAGGCCACATTACCTGCATTAACAAAGGGAATGCCATCGTAGGGCACATACTGTGATTTCCACATGAGTCTGGTGGCAGGTTTAGCCGGTGAGGGTGATTGGCGGGTGCCAAACACAGCGTGAGTCTGCTGCTTGTGTAGAAGCTGAATGGCCTCAAGCTCTGCCTCTGTGTTACAGTAACCACGGTACGATTCTCCAATCTTCTGCTCCTCGTGAAACACAGAAAAAAAGATTCACAAAGCCACATTAGCTTGACATCATCGGATTGCGTTGCTGTAAATGGATCTGTTTGACAGAGCGCTCTACGTACAATAGAAAGTACAATGCATTAAGGTTATTTTCATGCATATTGCTCTACTTATTTTTAATATATTTTTATAAGTGAAAGTTTTGTCAAAAAAATAAATAAATCAATTTCTCAAATTTCTACTGGACAAACCTCACACCCACGCAGTCTTAGAGCCCAGTTTGGTGTCCCTGGTGGCAGTGGCTTTACTGGGGGCTCAAATACATCAGGAGAACTGAAAGAAATGAGAAGACATTTCAATAAAACTGCCAATAATTTAAAGTACACTTAAACTCCAGGAATAGGGCATGGCCTGAAGCAGTTTTCTCGTTGTTTAAGCAAGGGATAAATTGAGCCAGGACAGGAGTTTAATTGAGTTTGTTTGTTTGATTCGATATGCATATGCATATGAATGCTTTTTTACTAATCCAGTACATATCTTACAGCTCCATATTTGCATAAGACTTGTAAAATGTGTTTAAATAAGTGTTTTTCAACATTTAAAACAAAAAGTGTAGTTTCTAATGGTAAATGGTAATAAAAAGCAACAAACAAAATAGGAAACTTCATCTTTCAGATTAGATACAGAATGTGACAGATATAATGATGTGCAAACAAGGCTTACTGACCCTTTTTTCTGAATTTTAATACCAGTGCCATTCTGAGCCGCTAGTGCAGATAAACTATGGGTGCCATCATTGTCTTTTGTGGATGTGATGATTGGCTGTGGTCTTTTCTCCTCAAAGATTCCTATTTAACAGAACAGAAAAAAATGGCAGAACCGGACAGCAACCAATTTTCTTCATTATTCTTTTCATTTTCTGTTTATTTTATTCATTCAATTTATTTTGTTCATTATTAGATGTTAACTATTCTATTTTATATGCATAAACATACACACACTCTCACCAGCCACTTTATTAGAGGACGAGTGGTGGTGGTGAGTGGTGAGTCTTTATTGAGTGTGGTGAACTGATGATCTGAGATGATTTGTGTTTTGTGACATTGTGACACGTGGCTTGGAAGACGTGGGTAATATTATCCATTTTGCAACACGAACTGGAGGTAAGCAACAGTAATTTGTAGCTAGTTTGAACTACAGAACTTAAAGATCTCCCTCTTTTCGTTTTTATTTTAATTTTATTTTTGCTGCAGATCTGTTTTCGCGCAGGCGCAGTGAGGGAAAAAACACTGAGTTTAGGGCAATCAGTTCGTAGCTTTGCTTCAACTGTGCGATATAGTCACGAGGAGCGGCCAAAATTTCTGACATGCCAGAAATTCATCCGACCATCCGATTGTCGATCGTGAGAGGCTAATCACCTCTCGTTTCTCCCTGTACACTACACGACAAACGACGCACGACAGAGCTGAAAAGCGGTCCGACGCGAAAAAGAGTCAGAGAGAGAATTCGGCTCAAAATCGGACGAAAATCGCACAGTGTATGCCTGCCTTTACTTGATGCTCATTTTGAAAATCACCAGATTTGTGACCATGTCTACATTGCTAGAGTTAGATATTTGCGTTAACAAGCAGTTGAACAGGTGTACCTAATAAAGTGTCCGGTGAGAGAGAGTGTGTGCATGTGTGTGTGTATATATAATTAGAAAAGCAATAGTCAGTATATTTAATAATAAAGAAACATAATTAATTACCAGATGAGTTTGTTACTTTCAACAGCTGACCGTGAGGCAGTAACATCTGAGGTCCCCCTATAGACACAGATGGGACACCATACAACTGTCCATTCTCCCCTTTCACGATCACCTGAAAAAAATGCATTTGTCTTTGAGTTCGGGAAAAACTGTCATAAATATATAGTTCAAAATGACTTAATGGGTGGAATCTGCAATACATGAGGTCAAACTCATATTTTAACATTTTGGTATATCTGGTGACTGCGTCAAGTAATTGGGTGATACATATGTCTTCTATTGTGAGTAATAGCCTATAGTTTATGGTGATGAATCATAGTGCAATTTCCTTACCACCCGCTCATACTGAATAGGATGTCCGTTTTGATCAAGTATAACTAAGTTGTCCACTTGTTCCGGGACTGTAGAGGGCTTCTGATTGGCTGCTACAGTTTCTGGGTCTGGAATGACTGATGGAAGCACTTGTGCATCTGCATTTTCTTCAGATTTTGAGTTGCCAGGTTGCTGATACATCAATACAACAATAAATAGTTTGATCACAAAACATTGACAGCTGATATTTTACAACTATTTTTTACAGTTCAGATTTATGTATTACTATTTAATATTAATGATGCATTTTGGTAAAAGTGTAAAAAAAAAAAGTGTCTAAAAAGCCCCAGTTGTATTTCACCAAAAAACATAAGAAATTATACTTTGTATACAGTAACATTTATGAGATTCTTATACTCATTAGTTTAATACCCAAAAGTGATTGTTTACATTGTATTTTCACAGTATTTATCACCGTAACATCTGTTGCACTTTTAATTAAAAGAAAACTGTTTGATAATATTTTATTGTAACAGAGCAAAAAAAATGTATTACAGTAAAGAGAATAATCATTTAAAAATGTGTATAGTTAATAATTTGTGGTAAAAATAGTGCTGAAAATAATCTTCAAGGAAGATATAATACATTTTTATTACATACAATTAGGGCTTTTGTGAGATTCACCCAACTCATTTGTTTGTGTGTGGACATTAGTCCTTTAGTGAAGAGTGTGTTATACAAGGATTATTCAGTGCTGTACAGTATTTCTACTAGTCTACATTTCTCCTTACCAGACCAGCTTGTGTGTCAGCATGTTGTAGATCCTCTCTCTCTTCAGTCTTAAGTGCATCCGTCACATCTCTCTCTTCCTCCTCCATTTATACTGTCAGACAAATACACATCAGTCTAAATCAAGAGCCCAAGCCAGAGATACACAATTATGCACGAATTGAGTTGTTTTACTATGGTGTCATATTTTTGTGAATCTGGTGCAATGAGAAAAAATAATTTTGATAGGTGTCAAACTGAACTTTGGTAATATTTGGAGAGAAATATGCACACTGCTAGCCACATTTTTGTGCTATTTTTGTGTGTAAGGTGGCCATTAGGTAGTACGTACAATGCTTTATGAATAAAGGAGCAATAAAAGGAGAATTTGTCAGACATTATTATGCAACTCATTAAATCCTCGTCTCTAACATTTCAATTGGAACGTTTAGGCAACACATCTTGTGTTTTTATGCTTTGCGAGCAATAATTCATGTTTATCGATAGAAGAGCGTTACACAGATGCGACAAATTAACATCATTTTGAAACATAAACGCCATATTGGATAGTGCTCGCTAGCTCAGCAGTTCCATGAGAACACCCCCATTTAAAAGAAAGAGAACAGACAGCGTTAGACTGAATTTAAATCATGATTTCAAGTCAGCTCGCTCTGACAGCGCATCCAAATGTACGGAATGCAGCCGAGCCCAGGCTTTATATCCAGGAAGCACTTAGAATTGAAAACGAGTCTACTCAACCTCGTCTTCGTCCGGGATTCCGGCGTTCCGGATGCCAAAAAAACGCTTAAACTGCGCCTCATCCGCCTGCAGTTTGAGTCCCCACGGCTTCCGTAGGACACGACGCACGCTCTCGTTCCCTTTGAGCTGTAAATTAGTTCTTTCTAAATTCTTTCGTTTAAATATGACAAGAAGACACAAGTTAATAAATATGGAAAATAGTGAACGATTCCAATTGAAACCGTTTAATAGCATTTTACTAACAGAGCAAAACAACTGAAAATTGTTAAAAAAAATATGAAAATAATAATTTGTGGGTAAAATGTGTGTTTGCCCAGAAAAGTGATCAAATCATGGCTTTAAACGTAGACTAGTTCTGATCCGAGATTTTCAAGTTTCAAAATCTGTGAAATATATGTGCTGTAAAAACACCTCTTTCATTTAATTTGACAAATATACATGTTTTTAAATGTGGAGAAAACTTGTTTGTCTTTTTGCTTAACAGCAAAATCAGACCTTACTGCTATTTTTCAATGCATCATTTGTATAAATAGATATTGCTCATATGAAAATACATTTCTGTGGTTTGCACATTAATAATGTCAAAGTGAAATATAAAGTTCGTTTTGCACTTGCATGAAGTACTACTAAAAGTCATAAAAATCCCAATAATAGCCAATATTTTTATAATATTTTACTATTATAAATAAATAATTACAAATATTATTCTTCCATCCATATTTAACGAATGACTTGGCAAAACAATACAATTTAACATATTTGTTGATTTACGTCTCACCGGTAAGGGGCGCTATACGTCTTAATAAAATGTACCCCATCCCTTCCCTAAACTCCTCAAAAAGGTACTTCACAAACCCTGCGTTTGCTTGAACAAGGAGACTTAAATAATTGTTCACATAAAGGGAACTTGGTCTCTCTCCAGTCCTCTATTCTAGAAAAAACAAACAGTAAAAGATGTGTGTGTGTATGTGCTATGGACCTGTAGGAGTCTGTATGACTGTGTTGAAGCAGCTGATCCTTTGTCAGGTCTAAACTAACAGGACGGTGTTTGAGCTGAGCCTGTAACAATGAGTCTTGCACGCTCAGAGCGAAGAGAAAACGTGAGGAATCTGGGCCTATGATCCCAGGCTCGGAGTGTGATTAGAGGTCGAGCTTCTCCGGGGCCTCAGTGGGGCGTCCGGCTCTCGCTCACACTCAGAGTCTCACACTGAGGTTTTGATGGAACCTGTCAGCAGAACCAATTTGAGCTTACTGGGAGAACAATTTGCAGTTTTTTTTTTTCCGAAGAGATCCAGCACTGGTGCATTCACAGACTTATCATACAATGTCATATTTCTTAGCGCATTCAATCTGACACTGTGAGACTCAACACGCCATGTCCAATTATGTGGGCTCCCCTCGAACAAGCTTCTTTCACCCCTGTTCCCTTTTTTTAGTCGCAAACAACAAAAGAGTGCCATACGTGTGCCTGCAAGATCGTCAATGGTCTATTTCCTGCATTTCTCAAGGTTCATTCTGTCTGTGGGGTTTAAATGCAACATGAGGCAATGAGGTGCTGATGCATTGTGGGATTGATGTCTGCGACTGACCTGAAATACTGCTGTGTAATGGCTCTGTCTCTGGCGGGGGGGATAAGGTGGGGTAGGGAGTCACTGGGGAAAAAGCCCCTGTTTGGACTGCCCTCCGTGTGAACATTTTTGCCCCTACATTCACAAAAGACCTTACAGAAAAAAAGAGTGAGAGAAGGGAGGGGGTGTCAGTGGACGACGGCTGGTGAGTTTGCATGACTGAACTATTTCAAACACCTTCCAGCTACACTGTTGCACACACACAACTCTCTCTGTGTATGTGTGTACGGCACTCTAACCACAGCAAGATTCATTCATCAGTTCATATGTGTTGTTCTAGTTAGTGAATGGAGATATCAATATGAGGTTCACTGGTTTGAAATCTGGCCATAATTAAATGAAAAATGTTCATGACAATTAAATGAAAATTATCATTTTGTAATGGTGATCGTATGTAAATAAGCACATTTATGATGATGGTAAATAATCATCAATTGGCATAAACTTTAACATTTCTTCCTAGCAGTTTGTGTGAAATAAAGCTGTATGCAATGGGCTTTATGCACAGCTCCACTACTTCCTGAACTTAAGGCAGCTCCTTGTTTCCTGTCTGCCATTATTGGCCAAATTGATTAATTCAGGTGTGCCTGACCCCAGTAGTCATGGCAACAATAATCAGACATGCCTGAATTAATCAATTTGCTGTGTATAAAGCCCAACTACCGTTAAAAGTTAGGAAGATGATAGGTTTTGAAAAAATATGAAAAAAAAATGTGGTGAATAGAAATGTTTTGTAACATTATAAATTTCTTTTCTGTCACTCTTGCTGAAAAGTAAGACTTTCTTTAAAAAAAAAAAAAACATCTTACTGACATCAAACTTAAGACAACACTGATTATGATTCTAAAGCATATAGAATTTAGTATCAATCCCTTTTGTTTCTGCAAACAGTACAACTATATTTTCCCCAAGACTTTTCCTCAAACCAATCATATTACTAGTTATTTGCCCGAGGACTGAAAATAAATGGTCATACTTTCATGAAGACATGCATCATTACAGCATGATTTCCACTAGGTGGCGTGTGTGAGTCCGTCCAAAAACACATGTTCGAGATCTAGTGCCAAAATACATATATTTTCATTACTCCACATTGCTTGTTCTCAGCAAGAGATGAAACACATTTTTAATGATGCTTACGTTTGGAAGATTTAGTTTAATATTCTTGGGGTCTCTTTGATACCAGCACCAACTAATGATCACACTTCACAACATCCAACAAAGACATGTCATTATTGAAAAAGCGGTTAACCCCAAAGTCAACTCCCACGTCAAATAACACCCTCAGACATTTGGAGCGAGTGCAACTTTATTCCATTGAGTCCCATAGATGTAACAACACAGGAGACTACATGGTGTACAGTATGCGCACAAACATCCACTGAGACAGACAGCATACAACACAGTATCCCATCACACATCACTGTCCCCATGTTAAGGTACGAATGGATAGTTCATATCTGACTGATATTCCGCTCGAATTATAAACAAGGCCACTACTCATATAAAAGTATATTAATATTGGCCCTACAGCGAGAGAGTTCTCTACTTCAATACATATCCTAAGGAGATATACAAAGCGCTCGATAAAACATTATCAATTTGTGTTTGAGCAAGAGGCGCTAGGATTCTTGTGCCGTTGCCAGAAGAGATTGCTGCTTTTACATTCCTGAGTACTGATCTACGATAGTAATCACAGGCTGTGAGCTTATTTCAGTTCAAACATGGAGGCCCTGTAGTACTGATTCACAATGCTGGTATAGAAGTGCTAAAATATTCCAGGTTTATGCTGTATTTTGCTTAAAGCTCAAAACAATACCTTCAACAGTGAACAAGAAAAAAACAGGAACTCTGCTAAAAATGCCTCCCAACAAAACAACTGTGAGGAACCCCACCCTGCACACAAAGCACAAGCGCATAGAACACGAGCGAGAGATGATCACGAGCCGGAAAATCCGTGACCTGTGCGTTATCCTGGCAACTGAGCTTTAAGCTGGAAATCCCAAATCACTCCTGTAACTGATGACCGACGCAGCGTTCACTCATTTCAAACCTGTATGACTATTTCTTCCGTGGAACATTAACGAAGGGATTTTGAGAACGTTGGCAACCGAACAGTTTTGGTGACCATTGACTTCCATTGTATAAAGAACAACTAAACACCAAACTAAATCGCCTTATAATTCCATCTTTTCTATCTACAATGACTTCACTGAGCCACAGGAAATGTCTTCTTTGGCCAAGTCTATAGAAGCACTTGCACGAGCTGCGTAAAACGGCAATCTTTCATCAGACACTACTTGATTTCTTACAAAATAATGATTAAAACCAACTACAGCACAGGAAATCAGAACAAATACTCAACAATGATGAAAATGACAGCAACGTAAGCAGCTTAGTTCATTTAGACACAGAAATGGACAGACAATCTGTGCTGTTTTTAATTGCTTGAATCTAGTGATACACACACGCACTTGACTGAAATTTCCAAGAATGCATGCAATTGCATAAATCAATCTGGTGACAATAATGTGCTCTGACTTTGTAAACTATTTCATTGGATATCACAGGAAACATTACATGAATGTTCTGAATTGGTAAATACTTGGACATTTTATGTGTTGCATTTTTTCAATTCGATGTTGTTCTTATTGTGTCCTTCCCCCCCCCGGCTTGATGATTGTGAGAGGTGAGAAAACACTGTCCACCCAGATCCCGTCGTGCCCTCCTCTCACTTTGTTCCCTGCTGGGTTTGAAGTTCAGAGTTTTGGACCCATATGCATATGAAATGTATTTTACAGCTATGCAAACAAAAGAATCAGATTTACAGGCCACTCGTCCTGTAGCCATCAAACGCGGCGATTCCTCTCACCCTCGCTATTCTTATCTTTAACACCTTTCTGTCTGAGAAAGGTAGAGGAGAAAAGGCAGAGAACCGGTCCCTCCTGTTCCCCAGCAGCTTTTGTCTGGACTGAACGGAGAAGGCCTGCAATTTTGAAAACGATTCAGTTTAAGAGACCTTCATCAACCCAGAATTCATCCAACCAGGTCTCTTGGTCTCACTTGAAATGACATCATTTGCATTCAATGATGTGCTGGTCCTAGTACGATAGAAACGATACTCGCAAACGCGATCCACTGCAAACTATTATAAAATATACATTGTATCTCACAAAAACGAATCTATGTAGCCACTATTCATAGTGATTCGAGACACATTCTCAGGTTCGCTCTATGAAAGGTAGAGCAATAATATAAAGCTACATACATTTATCCCAAAACCCCCAAAATGGCCTCTTTGTTCTTTGAGAACAAGCACAAAGCTAAAAATGTGCATAGCAAAAGGTAACCGTTTCATCTTCTTTTCACCCAACGAAAGACGTCGTTTATTAATAAACAATTTGTTTTCCAAGAGTCAGATTTTTTTTAGCACGTTCGATTATTGAAATGTGCAGAGTGTTTGGATGCAGTTGCTAGGACGCTCGATGAGGGGCGTGTCTAACTCTCTGACAGACAGGAGGAGGGGGAGGAGCCTGAGGGCTGCTGGGAAAGCATGCAGGTTCTCCGCGATACTCTCGGCTCGGGTTCGGGAGTGAGGCGGGCGGCGCTCTGGTTCTTGAGGTTGTTGAGCTCCTGTGTGGGCATCAGTGGTTTGGGAATGCTGACCAGGCAGAACGCGGAACCGCTCTTGGGGATGAAGTTGACCTTGTTCCTATCTGGGCACAGGAACTGTGGGATCTCTCGTGGAGGCCTGGCCCTGACGAAAAGAAAAAGGAGAGCGATAAGACGGTGAGAAGCATTGACTCAGCTTTGAAGTCGGTGTAAATCTTACGCTATCATCATTTCAAGGCTCATGCCACAACACAACAGTGGAGTGCAGAGAGAGCAGATAAAGCAGTGTTTCAGGACTCACTGTGTTTCCTCTGTGAAGACCTTGATTCGCTCGCAGCCCTCGGGTGGCTCGCGTTTGAACATGTAGCTGTTGTTTGGCTTCGGGGATGAGGCGTATTTGGGTAGCGGCGAGATGGAGGCCATATCTGTGAAAATGGTACGAGAAAAATGACAATACAACTTGGACAAGCTTATCAGTGAAGGTGATATGTGTTCAACAGAGAGCTAAACATTTAGTTGAATAATCAGTCTTAAAGATGTGCTGTATAAATACATCCACCAAAAAACAGCTTGATAAAGTGCAGAATTATTTTGAAATTGACGCATCTTAAAAAATGCAATGTTCATAATGTGACTGCGCAGCTTTGACGTCCATCAACATGTGAAATAGACAGATCAACAATTACACAGACTGCACAGCTCTTCAACAGAGTAACACAAGAATTTATATATATATATATATATAAATAACCTTTTATTAAAAAAAAACTATATTAGTACAAGAAAAAAATGGAGAAGTTAAAGTAAGAATGACAGTCAAACAGCAGATGCTATTAGCATGCTAAATAACTCTGACACTCTTTAAATGAATCTTTTACAAAATGTGCAAATCGCTAAAATATTAAAAACAATATGAATAATATTAAAATAATATGAATAATATTATTAAAATAATACAATAATTTTATTAAAATAATAAAATGAATTAAAAAAAAAAATCAAATTAAATTATTTAATAAAATCAACTAGCTGATTGGTGGATAGTAACTTATTTAAACGGGCACTTTTCAATTTGCGATACACATACTCGGTGTATGGGGAGCGGCGATACGGATTGCACATTTTACAAGATCAGATATTTATCAATGACGCTCAGGATTTGTTGCGCACCAAATTCTCCACCATCGCCCTATAATCTTATCTTACTTTCTTCACATGATAAGTGAAATCTGATGTCCTGTAACGTAACTGACTCCCACAGCAAGCCTAACCCGTAGAATGCGGTCTTCATTTTCTGTGCCTTTCCGAATTCAGAAGTAAGCTTCAGGCACATCCCTATTTTCAAAAGGCCCTATATTATATTTCAAATAACATATTCTATTATATTAACATGCGCAAGTGGTCAGAGAAGACATTAGAAACGTATGGTAATACCAGATGTAATGGTAATGTGTCTTGGCTGACCATTTGTGATCTGATCACTGAAAACGCATCATAATACCAGGTGGAAACAGGCTCTTCAACATTTGCTTTCTTGGTTATTGCATATAATTTGCAGGCCTCAGGAATCCACTATCAATATGCAGGAGACCATGGGAGAAATATGGAGAGAATGGAAAAATCTGAAAAACCTTTTGTTAATGTTTGTAGTAAACATTTCAAACTGGATGACCATGAACACAGAGTTTTAGGCCAAACTGCCGTTCTGTCAGTTCTGCCTGTAGCGAAACGCTGTCATGTACAGGTTAGAAAGCTGTTGCCATAGTGTTCCATTTCTTCCATAATACTGTTGAAAAGGCAAACTAAGTATGAAGTATCATCGCCGAAGTTACACTTGAATATGTTTATGAAGCTTTTGGTTACTAATAAAAGCGTAGCACTGTCAGCACCATATAACAATTTCGAGCATGTTTAAAACCATTCCACACATTTTCATACACATCAATGCAGAAAAAGCATGTGCAGATCTGTGTGGGCCTAAGGACATGCAAATAGTGTGTGTGTGTGTGTGGGTGTGAAAATATGTGAGCTGTACCTTTCTCACAGCCGTCAGCCAGAGTCTCATCCTCATGGGGAGATGGACTATCGGTGCAGGGCTCACTTGGCACGTTTAGGAACGTGGGTGAGATGGACTGAGAACGGCTGCTGCTGTTGCTGTGGTTACTGCCCGCTGCGGTGCCCAGGGGCGTCTGCGTGTCGATGCTGCGGGAGCTGGCACTGCGTTGGCAGAGGGGCAGAGGAGCCCGATGCCCGTCTGGAGCCTCCTGAGGCTGGGCAGAGAAAAAAAATGATAAACAACAGAAACAAAACTTTAGTTAAACACACACAGTGTCTGTAGGGATTCTATGAGGAAACTTGATTATGTAACAGAGAGTGTGCTTGACATGATTCAGCAAAAACACTCACAATAAGCTGCTCCTCTCGGTCTCCTGTGTCTCGGATAATGATGCGCTCAATCTCCTGATTCAGCCCCTCCACGCTGTTCCGGAAACGAGAGACAGAAGACTTGGAGATGGGAATAGAGATCAGGACACTCTTTGGAATAGGAGCCTGAAACAGGAGATAATGAGAAGGTGTGATTATTTGCTTTCTGCATATGCTTGAACACAAGTCGAGCTTTGTATTTTGTATTTGTACTGTATTTTTTTTGTTGTTATAGGCTTTTACCGGTAATACTATTAAATGAAATGTGTTTTAGGTTTATGCGCATGTGTTTTTCCCCTAGTTTGTAACAATGAGGGATCAAGAAGCATCAGAAAAGCAAAGAAGATAAACGCGTGTGTTTGTGTGTGCGAGTGAGTGAGAGCAGTACACATAACACAGAGAAAAGACCTCAAAATGAGAGCAGATATGCCTCTGAAAGTAAACATTGCCTGTGTGAAAACTTACAGCAACAGCCCTGAATATTCACACACTGTCAGCACACACACAGTTACCATATGATGCTAAATACTAACAGGGTTACGTGTTATCACACCACAGCATACAGACACATCGCATGGTAACGTGTTGGTCTCCTCCGCAGATCAGAGAGTTATGTAACTGGGTCTGCCTAGCAGATTCGTGATTCTCGTTTGTGTCTGCGGAACACACCTCACGACTGTACCGGGACACAGATAGATAACATGACACGCAAAACACGCTTGCCGAGTTAAATCTAAAACATGCTATCTATGCTAACAACTGCTATTTGCGACGACTTTCGTTGACTGATGAAAGACTGAAACATCACCTTTCCAGAGAGTCCACTTCCTGTCATCCTGTCAGAGAGAGGTCCGGTCTTCCTCCTGGTCCACCGGTCTCTCTTTCTCTCTCTCTCACTCTCTCTCCTGTGCTCTGGATTTTAGTTCTCTCACCCCCCCTCCTTTCTGTCTCTCTTCATCATGTCTGCCCCCCTCTCTCTCCCTTGTTTTGATCTTTCCTCTCCACTCACTCCCTTTCTTAAAATACATAGCACTGCTCTCGTCGTCTGTCCTACCCCCTCTTTTTCTCAGGGTATGAGGGAACAATGCGAGGGCATTAGCAGGACGTTGCTGAGAGCTGTGTGGCCCTGCGGTGGCCCTCGCTTAAAGCACGCCAGATCTGCTTCATTACCATCTCAATAGAGCAAGCCAGGTTTTAAACTCACATATGCAGCATCACCCCATGCCTCTTTCCTCTCCAGCATGCATGTGTGTGTTTCGGACATCACATTGTTTCAACATAAGTCTTCTGGACTCTTTTCTTCTGGGTGGTTTGGTTATTTATCTGCTCATCAGGATAGAAAACAGCTGAGAGAAACCCTGACCCTTGAGGTCAGCTCGAAACAATACACCGGTTAAGTGATTTTGTCTAGCAACTTTCTCATGAGCGGTCGCTAGGAGGCAAATATTTGTTTACGTGTAAGATTTCCAGTGGCGGGCCGTGACATTAACCGAAATAATGTACGGCCTGACCACAATGAAGGACGACTCATTGTCAGAGCCAATGATCTGATTGTCGTCATCTTCAGACATGACAAGAAACATGGCTCAGCACTTTCGTGACGTCTATAGAGGCCACATAGGATTGCTAACAAACCCATGCTAACCAGTTGAACGCAGATATTAGCCATTTACGTCGGAGGTCTCGATTAAGGTTCATTAATCACAGGAGCAGAAAAGTCTATGCTTAAAGGGATACTCCACTTTTTTGGAAATAGGCTCATTTTACAACTCCCCTAGAGTTAAAACAGTTGAGTTTTACCGTTTTTGAATCCATTCAGCCGATTTTCTGATTTTTAGAAGAATTTCAGTAACCAGACAGCTTCTGGTCTCATTGACTTCCATAGTAGGAAAAAAAATACTATGGAAGTCAATGAGATGAAACTCAACTGTTTACTGGAATCAACTGGGAGTGGCACCAATCGTAAGCGCCATGCGAGCAACGCTTTTTGATCGAGTTTCTATGAAGCATGTCCCAAATCAGTCACTAATGAGGCTCCATTTTATTTGGTTGCTACAGTACCTTAGAATTTAACTACAACTGAGGGCCGAATGTACACTCAAAACTGCACATATAATAAAAACTTAATTTTGCCCTGTTCCTTTTAGTTGCATCAAAATTACTAGGATTAAAAAAAAAACCTCAGTGTCCATGGACACGCACAGAAGCCTCAGTAAAACAGTGAAAGTCTTCCCGAAAGCATGTAAAAGGCTTTTCTTCACTGGTATGGAGGCCTGTATTGGTTACCACAGTCTGGCTTTAAAACAAGAGGTTAGACAGAAGAATCCCTTTGAAAGTTCTCCAGGCCTTGATAGCTATACTGGGCACTTTCACGTCAGCCTTTCTTTGACCACTATGGTCTTTATAAAAACAAGAGATTCATGGGGCTGAAGTTGTTGACCGGTGCTTAACTAAAGGTTTGTGTAGAGACTTAAAGGAATGACCCCACGCAAGCTCAAATGACTCGCAAACGCATCTCTTCTGTCTCTCTGGATTCACAACATATTCAGGTTCAGAACAATGAGATCAAACAAAACCTGAGAAGTTCCTATCGTTGTGGTCACTGTTTCAGTAGAAGGTTAGAAAAATACAAGTCACAAGTGATCAAAAAACTTAATCCATCAGAAGTCACCAAAAAAGAGATTAGAGATTATGACGGAGATTAACTTCAGCCTGAAATATTGTAAATGTTAGACTTTGAAATGAGATCAAACTAAAGCTAAAAAGAGTAGAGTACATAATTTCATCCAAATGCTCACACACACTGCCTCTGTACTCCTCATTTCTGCCACTAGCAGGCACTGTGGACTCCCACACAGAGAATGGTAAGAATGCAGGGAAAGATGTGCTAAATCCTTCAGACACAAAAACACCAGTCAAACCCAGAAAGCGGTCAAAAACTGTTAATTATTGATCATCGAACACAGCATTCGACAGACAAGAAGGACAGAGGAGATAGAGAACAAAGCCAAGAGGTGTGCGAATTACCAGGATCCTTTATGACTGGCCTTTACCCTGCAATAGATCACACATGAATGATCAAATTCTCAATGTCATGGAGATCTAAGAGACTATGGAATCTGCCAAAAATCGACTAGGACTAACAAACTGACCGCAAAGTGCTAAGCCCACAGTACAGTCGTGCAAGCTTACTTAGGGCCAAGCTAATATACATAGCATGACTAGGGAAGATAAGCAGACAAACTTGGCAGTACCTATTGTTATTGATAAGAGTAGATGCTGTTATTTGAGAAGCCATGCAATGTGTCATGCTAACTTAAAGGTATTATGTAATGCATTTTTCAGATCTTTCTATTATGTTTCTGGAGGTTAGCTTAGAAGTAATAATATAAACCAAAAAACAAATCAAAAATTATTTTACAAACGAAACGACCGCCTCAGCATACTCACGAGTCAAGAAACTTGTATTGCATTGCACATTTATAATAGCTATGGTTACATAAACTACAGCGGCATATACTTCATGCACTCAATGGTTTCAGCTTATCTTGCATAGTGGAAGGGAAGGGACTATCAGATGCTGTTGTAGAACGATGAAATCAGTCATATACTAGACTCCTGGAGGGCCACTGGCCTGCAGAGTTTAGCTCCAACCCCAATAAAACACAGCTGAACCAGCTAATCAAGGTCTTGCTAGGTGTTGAGGTCAGTTGGAGCCAAACTCTGCAGGAAATTGGGGATCCTAGAGCAGGTTTGGCTATAAGTTTGTCATTTGGGATGGGACACGTCTCGTGACTTGTTGTCGTTTCCACTATCTGTGACAAAGCAAAAATTCCCAAGCCTGAAGAAGAGACAAACATCTCCACAGCTGTTCACCCGTTTTTCTGTCTCCTCTGATGTTGTTGTTCTTTTCTTCTCATGGAGCTGCTGACCTTATGGCCGGATTTCTCATAAAGGTCTTCAAATGCAACTTTCATTCCTTCTCTTTTCTTATTCCCCCTCTTCAGAGCTTTTATTTCTGGAAAGAATGCCATTTTCATGACTGCCACTTCATCTTTAGCTGCTTTCCACGCACATAATGGGGAGAACACCCCCATGCACACCGACTCAGCCCTTGAAACCACACACACTCACACACACCCTCCCCCCTCTACACAGAGGTCACGTTGTGTGTGTTCTTTAGGAAAGTGCATTCATATCAGAGTTCCAAGACAAAAAGGAAGTAGAAGACTCAAGAGACAGAGAGAAATGGAGGTGTACGATACAATTTGGGGGTTGAACTTGGGCTGAATAAGTGCTTACGCCGCCTTCACGCAGCCTTCACACTGGCAATTGAAATCTGCTCCGATACGGCTCCGAAACGACCGGAAGTCACTCATTTCCTATGGAGATTCGCAGACCGCATGCGAATGGGTCCGACCGAGTGCGGTGCGAAGAAAATCGTGTCCGTTGGTCATCCGGATGCGTTCAAAAAATTGAACTCTCGCGAAAAGCCACGGACAGTTCTTATCTGACAATTCCAGCGGAAGTTGAGCGTTGCTATGGTACTGATAAACAAACCTGAATTCTTAACTTTTAGTAAAATAAATAATGATTTTATAACGATAAGTTGTCATGTCATTTTTTTATTTTCATGACTTTCTAACGTTATTAGGGCAGTTAATACAATTAAATTGTATGCAGCCATTGAACTATTGACCACTATATCACATTTTTTAGCCGACCTGACATGTCAACATCCTGAGCAATTTTCCTCACGCAGCAGCCTTACGAACAGCCTAATATCTCTATAACCCTCATCAGAGAGATCATACAGATCTGACAGAATCAACCTTTCTAATTTCTCCGCTATTTTTGTTCTAGTCGCGAACGACGCTTTTCACTGTGTAGTACGACGTCCGTTGGGGGGCGTATTGCGTATTACGGAGCTGGCAAATGCCAGTGTGAAGGCGGCGTTAAGGTCACAAAACAATTTCAGGCAGGCAGGTCCTGTGATGGAAGGCAGAGAGTTTGCAGTCTACATTACCCACTGGGCGTCACCCGACCCCAACAGCCCAGCCGGGAAACATCACGACCACTCAGCCTGAGGTGGAGAAAAATGCCCCCTCACCTCACGTCCAAATAAATTCATGCTTGTTATAATTACCCAGCCTGGGCACCTCTCAGACTCTAAACTCAACCTCAGCTGCTTCAAATTAAGGCTGATACACAGCAGAGAAACCCCCAGAATAAATAAACCTTCAAAAACCAAATCCAGATACACTTCGGATTCCTGTAGTTCTCTTCATAGCGGTCTGAGGCAGAACGGAATGGCACTGATTAATGATACACTGTTCAATCTACCCCACTTACATCTGCTGGAGGGGACGGCAAATGCACGTCTTGTGTATAACTAAATGATCACATGGTAGACTGGGTTCCTGGAATAGCAAGTTGGCATTTCCAATATAATGGAGTCAAGTGATGGTGACCATTACCATTTTACTACGGTTTCAAATATTTATTGTGCAATAAAATCTGCTCTGGTCAAATCAGTATTCCTGTTGAATTCAGACCAAGCTGCGAGTAGTTTTGTGGAACAGAGGGGCCGAGTCTGAGTACAGTTCATAGGATTAAATACAAAAGATGAATACAGTGAGACAACAGATGGTGCTTGAGCCCAACACATGCAGAAAAAAAAAAAAAAACAGCCGTACAACGGGCCCCAAAACCACACATCCAGCGGGCCGGACAGAGTGTGGCCTTTAATTGACTGGCTGGCAGCTATAGTACAGTAAAGACCAGGCGTGCGGCACATTCACCACATGCTGGACTAATTCATGGACAAACACAAAACAGAGCGAGAGAGCGAGAAAAAGACGGAGGCAGGGAGGGAGGGAGACAAGGCCAAGCGAGAGGCCACAGTAATTTATTCACTGTTTTTTGTCTTCATGAAGAGAGGTCTTTCACTCTGAAACAGCCTGCAAGCCTGCACCTGGTCTTGCCAATTACGACCAGAGTGCAAGTACACACACTGTGACACGCTTTTACACACTGGTATGCACACTTACCCACTCACGTTCTTTCAGAATGAGTGAGAGAGAATGTGGCAGAATAACTATGACTTCAAGTTCTCAACTACAACTGCATTGATGATACACAACGTTTGTGTTCAGTTTCTTCTTCTGCTTATATGGCATTAAGTACACTCACTGCACTGTGCTACACTTATGTTAACAAACAGTCTCTCTCTCTCTATTAATGTGATTTCTGAAGGATCACGCGACAGGGAACACTGAAGTAATGACGCTGAAAATTCAGTTTTGACATCACAGGAGTAAATTACATTTTCAAGTACATGGAAATAAAACAAGTATTTTAAATTGTAATAGCTGTTTTATTTTAAGTTTTTATTGTATTTTTATAATCAAATAAATTCAGCCTTGGTGAGCATAAGAGACTTCTCTCAAAAAGATTTGTAAAAACTTTTGATTGGTGGTGTAGTGAACTATTATTTGGCAAAAATACTAATAGACCATCAGCTAATGATGGGGGAGGGGGCACTGCTAAAAACATGATCTATGAGAGCAAAACAGAGGCTAAAAAAACCCCAAAACAAGTGTTCCTGTTGCTAATCATCAACACACCACCCCATGTAACCTTCTCCACCAGGTCTTCTGGGTTCAGAGCAGGTGAGAAATAGCTCACCTGTGATTGGATGAAAGCAGCATGGTTGCCATTGAAGGGAGATTTGCGGTCCTTGTCGCGATGGTGACGGCTGCTGTGTTTACTGCGCTGGAGCTGCTGTCTCAGCTTCACAATCTGAAACACGCAGAGAGAAAGAGAGAGCGAGAGAGAGATAGTCAGGACAGACATTATTTCTCACTTCAAGTGAACTTTAAGAGCACTTTTGCTTGTATACAAAAGACACCATAAAAGACCAAAGAAGTCTTTGCACTGCATTCCTCCAAGTATGTACAACATTTATAGTTTATAGTTCAAACAAATAAACACCCCAACTCTCTACACCCCAAATACATACTTACAAAAACATTTTATATTACGATTACATCAGTACCCTTCCCTTTCCTTTATAAACATCCGTCTGTTAGACAGAAAACCAATACACCCTCCCACTTTCTTTATCCCAGCCTTGGGAAGAGACGGGGAATACATGCACTATGAGTGATACGTGTACTATAATACATGTACGATGAGGCTATGAGCGACACCCTGAATGAGATGTTGGTGATCTCACCTGAAGCATGTAGCAGCCAGGATGAGACAACACACTAATTCCCACAGAGACAATTCTGACCAGGTCTTAATGTGCATGTGTGGGCTTTATCTGTATGTTACAGAATTGAAACAGCAATACTCATCTAGGTAGGCAGCTCAGTAGGTTTCCATCAGATTTGCCTACAGTATCAGTGTGTGAGTGCACATATGACCTGCTGACTGTGTAGGAAATGATTAACTATGAAGTAGTACACACACTGCAGTTTAGAGTCGACCGAGCAGCGAGAGATGGCAGTTGAGATAAAGAGTGACAGGAAGATAATGACACCTGTGAATCTCTGACATTTAAGAGGCACAGAAGACATATACAAAGGGAGGAGACTCTTGAAGTGGTGGAGGAGAGGAAGAAGATAGGCTGAATAGAGAGAACAGTGTATGAAGCCACTGGAGGATGTGACAGGGGAAGGAAGGGTGCACACACAAACAGGAGGAAGGGAGGGTGTAATGCGAGGTGACACCAGGCTGCTTCTGGTTCACTAGAGACTGCCAATAATATGATAATGACATAGCCTCAATCTTCCCCTCCCCAACACCCTGTTGCTGCCCCGTCTCCTCGTCCACAATCTCACACTGGGGGAGAGAAAGACGACGAGGGGGCCCAGCCCTGCTGAATGGAACAAAGCACGGGGGAGGAGAGGAGATCGGGCCCTAAACGCGTCCTGACCTCTTTTAGCTGGTCAGTGCTGCCGCAGGAGGCTGAGCGCTTGTGACAGCTCCTCTTCTTCTCTCCGCATTCATCGACCCAGGCACTGGGGGTCTGTGAGAGAAACACATGAGACCATCAGACATGAAACAACAATACGTTCTGATCATCACGGCATCGTATTGTTTCTTGACTCGTGAGTATGCGGAGGCAGTCGTTTGACTCGTTTCCAAAATAAACACTAGCCAAGATCCAAAACTGGGGTCACCCGCCTTTGAGCTTTATTAGGAACCGCAACATTACCTGGTTTAAATGGAATTGTGTGAGGGATTAAAAATCAACCTGATTGGAAAATTTATCATCAAAATTTCATTAGAAGGAGACGGAGTTGTTGTTTTCACCCTTTTTGTCTCATTAAAGGGTTAGTTCACCCAAAAATAAAAATTAAGTCATTAATTACTCACCCCCATGCTGTACCAACCCCGTAAGACCTTCGTTCGTCTTCGGAACACAAATGAAGATATTTTTGATTAAATTTGAGAGCTGTATAACTACCACATTGGCTCCTAAGGGACTGCCTCTTGACGGCCCAGAAAGTCAATGAAGAAAATGTTTAAATATCCCAAGTGACTACCGTGGCTCAACTATATGTTTATCAAGCGACGCAAATACTTTTTGTGCGAAAAAACAAACAAAAATAACGAGTTTATTCGACTATTTCTTTTCTTCCTTGTAGGCCAGAACGAGACTTCCTTATAGATTTCCACGACGCATGCGCGAGAATAGCGATCTGAAGTAGTGTAAGCTGGCGTAAGCAGATCGCAAATCTCGCGCATGCGTCGTGGAAATCTAAGGAATTCTCGTTTCTGGCCTACAAGGAAGAAAAGAAATAGTCGAATAAACTCGTTATTTTTGTTTGTTTTTTCGCACAAAAAGTATTCACGTCGCTTGATAAACATATAGTTGAGCCACGGTAGTCACTTGGGATATTTAAACATTTTCTTCATTGACTTTCTGGGCCGTCAAGAGGCAGTCCCTTAGGAGCCAATGTGGTAGTTATACAGCTCTCAAATTTAATCAAAAATATCTTCATTTGTGTTCCGAAGACGAACGAAGGTCTTACGGGGTTGGTACAGCATGGGGGTGAGTAATTAATGACTTAATTTTCATTTTTGGGTGAACTAACCCTTTAAACCAACAAAACCTCAGGCTCATCTTGACAAATATTTATGGCTGTTTATTTCTCTGCCCATTAGCAGGTGTGGCATTCACTCCCACCCACGCACACATACATGAAAAAACACACAAGTGAAGGCAAGAAGCCGAGGGATGGTGAATTTGAACTTTTTAACATCCTGCAAACAAACCGCTTAATGCTCATCTTTACAGAATACTTGGTTGCTGTAACTTATCTACAAACTTCCTTCCTAAATGTAAAAATGCAGCTGCTGTTGCCAAAGAGTGCATGGGGAGGCACGCAGGGCATATGGTTTCTGGCTCTGAGCTTCCTTTGTGAAGCGTCTGTCGCTCACCAGTGGGGAAAGCTCTCTACAAAGATAACCGCAAACACTCCAGCCTGAGCAGAGACTGGCAGTGTCTTCAGGACAGTACACACATATAAATATAAACTTGATTTGATGAAACTAAGAATACAGATATACCAATAATTATTTTTAATTAGCTGATAATCTGAAGTTCAATATAATTTATATTGCTTAGTCTATATTTTTTAAACAGCATGCTTCAAGTGAAAAGAGGTAATGAGCCATTTTATTCTCTGATATATCATGGTCATTGACGCATCACTTGCAGGAACTGTGTACACTATGTACACTTAAAAAATAGCATTTGAAACTGGACACATTACGCAACTATACATGTTGCAAACAGTAGTATGCTAGATTGTTGTCTACATTATTTATCAAGTTGCATCCAGTTATCATCTTGGAAATAAAACAAATACATTATTTTGAGTCCAATTTTAACTTAATCCAATCTGTTAAATGAGTCAAGAAAGCAAAATTAACAATCAGAATTGGAAGGTTAAGTTGTTCAAATTGCACTGTGGAAAGGGTAACTATATTCTTTGCAGTGTGCCTGGTTTTATTCAGATCATTTTGGCAATTGTAGTAAATCATTTGGGTATTCCATGGGTAGAGAAAAAGTGTACTGTATACTATGAACTTCCATACCACATACTAAAATAGTTTGTATGCAAGTAAAAAGTGCTCCGTTCACTCACTTAAAAAAAAAATTGAGTAAACCCGTTGCCTTAAAATTAAGTAAATAAACTTCATGCTTATCCAAAATAATTATGTATTCCAAAGAAGAAGTGGAATTGTCAAGTTTACGTTAAGTTAAGTTTGGAATTGTCAAGACTTATTTTAAGCATTAAGTTTATTTACTTAAAAAAATAGGAAACCTGTTGCCTTAAAATTATTAAGTCAACTGATCATGTTTTACAGTGTAGTACACATTAATGAAAAAGGACCCTGAAATGACCCTGAAAAAAGGACCCCAAACAAGAGAACATCTGAAAAACCTGCCTCAGATACCCGAATAAGAGCAGTAAACATGAACAACATTCCACAAACATGTGACATACCTCACCAAAACACAGCATTCTGTGAGAGAAAGAAGTTTCTAGTAGTTTAAAGTCGCTAACACACAACTGGGAAATAATTTAGTCAACAACTACAGCTTTTATAATCAGTACACCACGTCAGCCTAGTTATGAGAATCGCTCAGCTGTGAGTATGTACACATCATGTCCCCACTTACTTGTCCCCACGTTATTGTCATTCTAAACCCCCCTTTTAACTTTTCACTTATTACTGACTATTGCAACAAATTACCACATAAAAACACAAACGCATTGAGTGCGCAAACATTTTGATGAGATAATTTTAATTTATTTTTAAAAATATGTATAACACCCCCACCCCATAAAATTACCTCACCCCTTGTATAACTGTTTTTTTTTTTTTTTTTTTACCATGGTATTGACTTTGGTATCAAGTATCGTGTACCATTTGGTGGTATTGGTACAGACAACTAGACTTTTACTGTTGTGACATCCCTAATCATAACACACACTCACAGAAAGATTTGTTTGGGAACCTCTTGATCAGGGCTTGTCTTTGTATCTGGGTAAGCACAGCCTCCCACTGCTGTTAACGGCACGACACCAGAGATTCAGCCTGTGGGTTTTCACCATAAACAACTCTAGATCATTCTATCCCAACACACTCAACATGCCTGTACTAGCAAGTTCACAAACTTTCACTCAGAACATTGTAGGAGATGTATTACAGGACAACTAGCCTATAGCCTTATTTAGATATCTGCCACAGAAGAAGAGTGATCTCATGTTGAGGAGGTAAAAGTAATTGCTTTGTCTCAGCCTCTCAGTCACTCAAAGGTGTAAGCCAAAACTGTACAATGCAGTACAGAAATAATAAAACCTGTGGCATTGGAAACAGCCTGGGACACTAGCTGTCAAAAGACAACCAATCAAAAGCACAAGTCGGAAACTTGCTCTTTTTCTGTGCATCATGATATTAAAATAAACTTTGCTTTTCTCAAAACTATTGCCCCGTTTTTTTTATATCGGTGTCAACAATCACCCATGATTAACAGATATGTTTTTATGCAAACATCCACATACACCATTAATTAGCAGACCCATTCATCAGGGACCCACAAACGTTGACTCACTTTCCTATGGGCTTGGACACAAATGCTGATAAACATGTGTGGGGAAACTAGTCGACTCCTCTCCGTCTCTGTACAGCCTGAGGCTCTGTCTCTAGACACATATCCCAATTCGCGCACTCCCTTCAAACAAATAATTAACATTAGCTGACATCACACACCAAGTGAACATGCATTCAAGACTGTATGATCAAAGCTAAACCTTTGCTCTGACATGCTTAAAAAAGCACTTACAACTAAATTAATTTCTTATTATACTCTAGATCATTCTAACCCCTTTTGAACACTTGAATCTAATTGGTTTACAAAAGGTATGACATCACTTTTTAGGCCCAAACGAGGAAGCGAGTTACCATTTTAGCACTTTTGGTTCCATCGTCCCGAAGTCAATTTTTTTTTTTTTTTTTTCAATGGGATTTTGATTAAATGGCTGAAATAAGGTGGTGAACTCAAGGTCAAGAAACTTTCATGTTTTATTCTACGCCATACAGTATTACCCTAATCGAGTAGATCGGGATTTAATTTTATTCACATGGATCATGAAAATTGGACATTACATACCAGGATTTGGAGTTGATTAGGGAGGGCAACTTCCCTCCTGAAACACTCCAGGCACCTGATGATTAAAATATTTGCTGTCTTTGTAACGTCAATAGAAAATGAAAGGTGTTTCAGAGATGGATAAAACCAGGAATGTGTAGCAAGAAAGAAAACCAGTCAATTTTATTTCATTCTGACTTTAAATACAAATTTGTGACCATTCATAGAAATGCGTCAGACAAGTTAAAATTCTGACCAGTTAAAATAATTATTTAAATCCATAGAAAGAGAACAGAGACAAAAACGAGAGAAAGTGTATAACATGGCTGAACAAGCCAGTATAAGATAAAGTTTCTCTTCTTAATTAACTTTCATGCCCTGTGAACCTCCACGAGTTGAGCCGCAGGAGTGGCTCCTGTACCCGGGCGTACCTCTCCTACCCCTCACCAATATTTATTCCTCTAAATTCCTTTCTTTCTTTGTTTAATTAATCCATGCATGTGCTTCTTTGTTCTATCGCTCTTTTCTGCTTCTCTAACTATTGTTCAGCTGGTTTTGTCACACATCTAAGTCTGATCCCTCCTTTCTTCATCTTTCCCCCCCTCTTCATCACTACATACTCCCTTTATACACTTCTGCTTTTTCTACCTCCTTCTCTCTTTCATTCTCTCCGCAGGCTTCCTCTTATCCTATGAGTGTTCAAGTGAATGGTGACCAAGTCCTCTTTAATGATGTGCCATTCAGTTTACTCTGCACCACAAGGGCTCATTTACACTTTGTAAAAAGTCTAAATAAAAATAAATAACTTATTGATTTAAAATATAATTAGGCAACACTGTATTTCGATTGTCCACTTTAGA